GTATAATGATAACTGGTTATCCGGGTTAACATATAGGATACTGTTTACCGCGGGAAAATATCTCATTTCAGAGAAATCCGTAAAAAGTCACCTAGGAACAAACCCGAGCGGAGCGAGGGTGAGTGGCTAGTTAAATATAAGTTACTTGAGCATACAGTTAACTGTAAGCATAAGTCATAACTTTTTTTTTGGTTTTGTGCGATGGCCAAGTCTTTCTATTTATTAAAGAAATAAATATATCTAATATTGATACGGTCACTATAAAATGTTCTTACTTAACGAATAGAGTGACAATATATGACAAAACTATAGGATAGATACTTCCATATATAAGTACTGAATAAATTAACCGACTTTGTTTTACATTAGATCTCAAAACTTTGTACGACAGAAGAACCGCGTTACGAGACTTGGATTTTTTTACATACTATGTTCTTCATGGGATAGTATCTACAATTACCTGACGTGAAGCCTAAGGGATGTTTATTATACCAATGGAAAATAATAAGTTACTTGAGCATATAGTTAAAATCTCACTTTATAATTTTCTATAATAAGACGTATAATAAATTGTACTCTCACTTTGAATGCCTACAGCATAAGATGTAATACTTAAAACTACTTTCTATAGGGTGGGCCCACACCGTTCCACAGGCGGCCATTACTCATGCTATTATCATTAACAACTGGAAGAACAGTACTTATAATATAATAATATTTTTTTCCAATACCTATTTTAGGGTTCCGTCCGTCTCAGACACCGAGGGTTCCGTAGCTATACTTCCATACTAATATTATAAATGTGAAAGTGTGTTTGTTTTTTCGTTTGTTTGTTTGTCCTTCTTTCACGTCAAAACAGAGTGATAGATTGGCGTGATAGTTGGAGGGCTGGAGAGTGACATAGGCTACTTTTTACCGCGGGTGATTATCTAATTCTCACAGGAAAACACGAATTTAATACTATTTAAAATCGGTCAAATCTCTTTATAAATAGCAAAAGACAAAAAAAATTATGTCTTTTTTTAATATTTTTTTGTAGTGGCCAATGGCCATAGATGAGCTTTTGTGTTATCGATAAAATGAATTTTTGAAACAGTTGTTTTTTTTAATGTTCACCGGTAAATTCTATTCATATAGGTACTCCTCAAATTTTCAATAATGATTATGATTGTATATTTATAATATGTATGTATTTAAAGTTATATATGTGTAATGTATCAACTATCTGGTATCCATAACACAAGCCTTGCAGCTTACTTTATTGATCACACGCACAAAATTTATACAAATGATTAGTTATATAAATCTGTGCCAAATAGTTTATTTGCAAAAGTCATTCTAACCACGAATCTCTTCTTAACATTTACATGCTTGTCTGGCAATGAGTTGGAACTATCAGAAATGTCTGGCTAGTGAGGAGAAATCATCTAAGTATTATATATAAAAATCAATTTTTATACTATAACGTAAGTAGAATTATGATTTCATGAAAAGGGTGTCTGGCAAGGGTTTGCCACGATGTTAAGTGTCTGGCATTGAATGACGTGATTTTTAATAATATTCTGAAGGTAATACCAAAAAATCACACTTTATTATTTGACGAATTTACCCTTTAATTTGCCGTGTACCTGCCAAAGCCACCATAGCCTGAACTTCATAATGGTCCATCGTTCTTATCTGTGTTGGGAGCATGCGCTGACAAACTTTCAGCTTTTATAAAATGACGAAGGTCTGGCTTTCACGGGATCTTGCTCTGCTGAGTTCTCTCAGACATGCAGGTTCTCTCAGACATGCAGGTTTTCTCAAGACGTTGTGCTTTATCGAAAACTAGCGGCTCGCCCTCACTTCGCTCAAATTCGCCTCTAAAAAAAAAACAAAATCAAATCTGGGGATCCGTACATTTTTCAAAAATAAAAAGTAGCCTATATGCTGTTCCAGGCTATAATCAATTTCTGTGCCAAATTTCATCTAGATCTGTTCTGGCGTAATTGAGTAACAAACATCCAAACTTTCACATTTAGATACTACCAAAGAGAGATCAGGCTCAGGATTGACCTCAATACATGCTCTACAATACAAGACCTTTGTATATTTCATAGATACCATCAACTTCTAAATTCAGAAAATTTGCTAATTTATTCATAGAAAGAATCCCCTATCCGGGAATAGAACCTAAGACCTAATAATTTGCATCCGTACGTACTCAATATATCATAAGATGGTTATAATAAATCGTGCTTATACTACGTGTAATATTAGTATACAACACGCATGTACCGGTTTCAAAACCCATTTTCCATATACCGTGAGGTATTAAGATCAAATTATTTACACATGAATTGCGTTACAATATTAATGCTTTGATCTAAATTGGCAGCCAGTGTTTGAATGGAAGAGATATCAATGCAGAAATACTTAACGATAACTAGTCGTCGCCATCGTCTGTGCTTTGTCCCAACGACCAATTTACCGAAAGAGTTTGTAATACAACATTATTGTTTTTAAATGTCAATTCTATTGTATAAATTCAAAGTTTACGTGTATGATATGGACTGTGCAATGCTGTCATGAAATTGACTATTCTCTAGAAAGAGAGGAAGCGAACGTGCGGCCAATACCTGTATTTTATTCCAATTTCAATTTATAATTGGAGAGTCTAATAATTATAATATTATTGAAATTATAATATTACTAGCGATTCACCCTCGCTTCGATCGAGTTCGTCCCTAGCTTGCTCCCCAATATAAACTTTCAACCCCATTTTCACCTCCCTAAGGGATGATTACAGGAATAAAAATGTCCTATGTCCTATGTCCTTCCCAAGGTCTCAAACTATCTTATTACCAAATTTCATCTAAATCGGTTCAGTAGATCCAGAGATTACCCCCTATAACGTCACAAACTCACAAACTTTACCTCTTTATAATACATATTAGTATAGATAATGAAACGTAAAATGGCTATAAATATCTACCTTCATCAATCGTATTTAAATGGCTTCTGGCCGCACTTTTTTAAATAAATGACGGAGGTCTGAGGTAACAAACATAAAAAAAAACATACAGCCGAATTGAGAACCGCCTCCTGTTTGAGGAAGTCGGTTGAAAAACGATTATTTTTTAATTATAATATTACACCGACTTCGAAATGAAGAAAATTATATGTAATTAAAAAATAAACAATAATTTTTAATTTACTTTAAAGGTGTGTAATTAAAGTCATGGAAATCCCTTAACAATGGCTTTAATACCTTTTTATTTAATTTTTAATTTATTGTTTACATCATCGTACTACGAGAATATAATGTATTACAAAAAATATGAATAAGCTTGGAAATATTGTAATTCATTTTTAATGAAATACAAGAGTACTATGACACGTTTGGCTCAATTTGTAGTGATCCTACTTGCTGTGCCAGCGGTCGTGGGTTCGAGTCCCGCTGGGGGCATTCATTTGTGTGTTGAGCATGAACGTTTGTACTCCAGTCATGGATGTTTATATTTATGTATGTATTTAAAGTTATATATGTGTAGTGTATCAACTATCTGGTATCCATAACACAAGCCTCGTAGCTTACCATGGAACTACATAGATTATTAATCCTATAAAACTGTCATCGATGCCAAAATTGCACTAAACAAAAGAAAGCAGTAACAGCTGTTTTCAATTTTCAAAGTCCTGATGGATTTTAGAACGGGCTAATACAAATAATAATAATTGAATACATTACGTATACAAAATTTCATACCTGTGCTCTTGACCGCTGAGGAAATATCTCATTTTGAACTATCCATGGACGCAGCAGCCAAATACTGGTGGACAATAGAACGAGCTATGATCATTGAAGGCATGTATAAAATTTCGTGTCTGTACTGTTAGCCGTTAAGGAGTTGCTTCGTCTGGAGCCAACCCTAGATGGAGAACGGGATTGTAATCATAAAAATTCACTGCCATTGTGCCACTTACCACTGCAGAAACTGAACCCATTTGTAGGTAGGAGTATACTTCATCCGCGGTATACTCTTAATACACTTACCTCATTTGGGTAGACTCTTTTTTTGTTCGCAAAATCTTTTGATTCTAGAATTATACAGGCACGAATCCATCTCAAATAAAATAAAAATAACAACAAAATATAAAAATGCTCAATAAAAGGCACGGGCGTATGTCTGTGGGTTTTAGACTTACTCAAATAAAAAAAACCTTCATCCGTGGTTCGAATTGCGTTATTTTTTTATGTACTAGGCTAAATTTGCAACTTCGCCTGCGTAAATGAATACCACAGTAATATTCTCCATATTCAAGTAACCATTTCATACCAGTACAAGTACGAAATGTGGATTTCAGAACTGACGGTACATCAATGAAGTTTGTGCTATTTATATATATATATATATATATATATATATATATATATATATATATATATATATATATATATATATATATAATATATATATATGTATATATTATATATATATATTTCAAACTGCGTCATTTTTTTGTGTTATAAACAAGGGCTTGACTGATAAATTGAAAAAGTGTGTGTAAAGTGTTGTGTTGTTGTCTTCAATATGTCCAAATTCATACCGTATAATTATTTGCAGCAAAATGGATGGCATAAAAATCTTTTCCGAATCAAAATTTCAAAGTACTCTGTGAAGAACTTTCGAGATTTGCTGATTTTCAAAAACAAACATATACATTTTCATCTAACTCGTGTAGAATTTCTATAATTAATAAATAAACCATATAAAATTATTCTTATGTCGCACATTCGTGCGTTTATAACAATATGTGCTATTATGAAAAAATAAACGTTTGATGCGACTCACGGAAAATATTCCCATCTATTGAATCCATACACTTTCAATTTTACTTATTTCTCATTTATTGTCAACAAGCTTAACAATTGCATCTCGCAACGTATTACAAATGCGAAAGTGTGTTTATTGGTTTTTAAGTTTGTTGGCTAGTTCTTCTTTGGAATAGCAAATAACATGGGCCGAGGTAGATTGAAAATTTCTTTCTTTTATCTAAAAAATTCTTATATCCTCTAGTTCTGAGCAATATATTTCTTTAGCGAACTATACAGATCGGTGGTAGCCCAGTGGTAACGCGCTTGCCTGGGGAACCTAATGAAGCAGGTTAAAATTCAGGATCTTGATTCTCTGATATACTCATGTGCGAATTATATTCAACATGATCACCATTTGACATGTGATAGTGAAAGTAAACGCGAGAAAACTGCAAGTCTCTCAGACATGAAGTTTTCTTACTATGTTACGAAGAATCTAGCAAGTTTTCGAAAGACATGTGACACCAAACCCGCTCTTGGCCAGCGTGGTTAACTATGGCCTGATTGCACCTAACATGTAATAACAGTATCGAGATAATTTAATCTATACTTATATATTATAAAGAGGTAAAGTTTGTGATCTTGTGAGTTTGTGAGTTTGTGAGTTTGTGACGTTGTAGGGGGTAATCTCTGGATCTACTGAACCGATTTTCAAAATTCTTTTACCAATAGAAAGCTACGTTCTTTCTGAGTGTCATAGGCTATATATTATCCCGAAAAATGAAAAGGCTTTTTCGTGGTAGTCGGATTTGCAAAGTAAGTCGGAGAAAAAACGGTCGAACGAAAACGTTTCTTACGAACGCTGCCTTAACGATGAGAGATATATGATTATGTTCTAGAGAAAAGTTGTAGAGCTTAATAATGCCTACAAAAAAGTCAGCGACAGCATATGTCTAACTTTTATATTTAAGTCACAAAAAGTAGTTTTTTATATTAAAAAAATCATTTAAATCGGTAGGTCATGTTTATTGGTCATATTATCAACAATTATGAATTCTTATCAAAATAAGTAAATTTATCGTCTAAAATGTTTAAAATAAAAGACTTTTCCCTTTTACTGCATATAATTTGGACGAATGGTTAAAGAGATAATACAACATATTCGTATGTATGGACGAACCTGAGCGAGCTGTTTATCTGTTTTTCTCTTTGTACGGGCTAATCTCCAGATCTATTGGACCTATTTAAATAAAATTTTGCATGGTGTTACCTTATATCCTCGGGCAACATCTTAGATACTTTTAATCCCGGAAAATTAAAGAGTTCCCGTGGGATAGTTAAAAAACTATAACAACTTGTACAGCTTAGTACACAAAAACTACTGATTGCATTTTAATGAAACTTTACAATAATATAGTTCATACATGACAAAAACAAATCAGCTACTTTTCATCCCGGAAAATTAAAGAGTTTCCGTGGGATAGTCAAAAAACTATAGTAACTTATACAGCTTAGTACACAAAAACCATTGATTGAATTTTGATGAAACTTTATAATAATATAGTTCATACATCAGAATAACAAATAGGTAACTGTGTATCCCGGAAAAATGTACTTTTCCCGTAGGATAGATGTTTTTGTTTATTTGTAACGTATTATGTACGCAACATGGACCCCAAAACAATAGTTATTAAAAAAATTGCCTGTTTTTCTGTTTGTCTGTTTTTGTGTGTGCGTTTCAATAAAAAGTATGTACCAATTTCAACGAAATTTGGTGAAGTGATAACTTATTACTCGAGTCAACATTTAGGGTACCTTTTGTATGTATGTATGTATGTATGTTGTATTCAGCCCTTTTTAACACATGCACGGACCTCCCTTCAGTACGAGGTGGATCAGGCCATAGTCCACCACGTTGGCCAAGTGCGGGTTGGTGGACCTCATATGTCTTTCGAAAACTTGCTAGGTTCTGCCAGACATGCAGGTTTTCCTTCACCGTTACGACAAGTGGTAACTGTGTTAGAAATGATTCGCACATGAAAATATCAGACGTGCGAGACCCGGGATTTGAACTGGCTTCACTCGGTTTCCCAAGCGAGCGCGTTACCGCTGGGACACCACTGCCTAGATACCTTTTACTTAAAGAAAATCTTTCTTTCCCATGGGAAAATACAATTGGTTAAAAATACAATGGTTTTATCGAGTCCTCCCTAGAAACCTTCCTCTGGCTAAGCCTTAAGACATACATCAAAAAAATATACTAAAAAATTGTAGGTCTTGAAAAGTCCTACAGAAAAGTTGTGAATAGTATATGTCTATCTCCTAAGTTACACTCGCAATATTTATTCTTATCTATACCTATAATAAAACTTAGTCAAATCGATGTGCGCGTTTCACGCAAAAAGTACTCAACCGATTTAAACTTAATTTTGTATAGTGATAAAACTTAGTGCTCGGGTCAACATTTAGAATACTTTTTACGACAGGCAAATTATTCATTCCCACGGGAAAATTGTATAACTGGTTCTATCGAATTGTCCTTAGATATTTATATGGCTAACGTTGGCTCAACCTTAAGAGATAGATCAAAACATTGTATAAGAAAATTGTAAGTCTTAAAAAGGTCTATAGAAAAGTTCTACATAGTATATCTCTATCTCCTAAGGTACACTCGCTATAACTATTTTCATTATTATATATTTCTGTTTTATTATACGTTATTTATTCTATCTGAATATAGGTACATATATGAATAATAAAACTGTAGAGGTCGAATGTCTGTACATAGATGGTAGAAAAAATTGCTAAAAAACGAGTCAGTTCTCTTCTTACATCCCGTAAGGAGAGTAATAGAACTAATCCAGATTTTTTTCAATTTTTTTGTTTCTCTGTCTGTTTGTCTGTTCGTACGGGCTAATCTCTGATACTATTCAACCTATTTAAATGAAATTTGATACTTATCATTCCGGAAAATTAAAGAGTTCCCGTGGGATAGTTAAAAAATTATAGTAACTTATACAGCTCAGTACACAACAACTTATGCACCTAATTTAGTAAAATTTGGCATGCTGATACCTTATATTGCAGGTCAAACAACAGGTTACTTATTTTATTTTATTTATTTTTATCCCGGAAAAATGAACGGTTCCCGTGGGATAGATCTGTTGTGCTTTTCTAGAGGTGAACCCGAGCGAAGCGAGGGTGAGCCGCTAGTGATAGATAAATGTAAAACATGTAGATACTAATTATAATCATTTAGAACCAAAATGTTGAGTTAAGCATATTTAATAAAAATATTTCTTTGTTTTAGATGAAGCAGATGCTGAGATAAAGTCATCTGGGCGATCCTTCGAGGAGCTACCATCGAAACTCGGCAAAGAGATTGAGCTCGCACTCACTGGTGTATCAGATCTCGTACAAAAGGGGATGGCTAGGTAAGTACTTTGATATGTATTCACTAAGAAATAAAACGTCAAAATTGGTTTACAATAGGGAGTATGATTTTTTTTAATCAATAGCTAACATCATTATAATATTATAATTGTAAAAAAATAGCCAGTTCCAAAAAATTAAAACTTAGTACATATATATTTTTTTAATATTATACGATACGGATACTTTAAGCGCCCGTCATTACGCGCGTTTGGCGTGACGTCACAGTATCATACATAGGAAAATGACGACTTTGTAGCGATAAAATCGCTAATCGCTCTGTTACGATAATACTTTGACGTCATATTCGATCTGACCAATGGCGTGCGTTTCAACTACTTTGAATTTCTCATCTATATTTGCACTTTTTAATAATGATTTTCTTAATCAAAAAGAAATGACTTTAAAAAATTTGATTGATAAAGGCTTTATTCAAAATCAATAAAGATTATAAAAAATAATATTTCACCTTCATTTAAAGAAAGAAAGGGTAAGAAATAACATACATGAACAAACTTACACAATAATTATTTACCTAATAGCTTTGAAGTCGATTAAAAATTAGCCTTTAACTGCCTGTGCTCGACTGGCACGTTGTAAGGCCATTAAGTAAAAAATTGGAATTGAAGACTTTAAACTTAGTTAATTCAATTTTGAAAGTTCTATCTGTATATAAACTAGCAGATCATCCTTACTTCATCCGGGTTCGTCGCTAGGTACGTTTTATATAGATATAAAAAGTTATTACCCAGCGTTAGCCATGTAAATAAAAAAAAATCGTGTATTTATCCAATGTTTTAATAGTTATTCTGCTATTCGGGATGAACACAAATCCAATAAATCAGAAACCATGAAAATCGGTCCAGCAGTTCTTGAGTTGTTGTAACAAACCAAACTTTGTTTTATATATATACCTATAGATATAGATTATCAAATCAATAAGGTTTTAAATCAACCAAATTTAGTGATGTTCGCTTAGATCCTTTAAACTACTCAACGGATTTTAATGCAGTTTTCAGCAATAGATAGAGTGATTCAAGAGGGAGGTTTATATGTATAATACATGCATACTATAGTACAGAAAAGCCGAGAAATTCCAAGATTTGTATTTCACCATGATTTGTATTACTACTAACCGTTAAAACGTACCTGGGGACAAACCTGAGCGAAGCGAGGGTGAGCCGCTAGTGTCTTCTACATTGCTTCTTACCAAATTTCATGTTTCTAGGTTATTCTTTGGTTAATTTTTCACAGCTCCAAGGGATTACAGAGCTGAGTATTTGTCATTAATTTTAATTCGATACCTCCACGCGTTCCTGAGATAAAGTAGCTTGACAGACAGACAGACAACAACGAAGTGATGCTGTAAGGCACGGAGTACAAAAAAATAATATAGTGGCGATATTTTGTGATAAAAGCAACATCTGCACGGGCCTACGTTTTTTCTGCTGTCATCGTGACAAAACTTATCGCTAAAGGAAGTGAATGAAAGTTGCAAAGTATGCCAGAGAAACTCAAAGCGCTCGAATCCTTTAGAAAATATGAGAAAACACAAATTTGCTTCAATTTTAAATAGAAAGTAAATTATCAGTCATTCAGTATCTATACACACAGTTAAAGTTTAAACGGGGTCAATAATTTATATGGAATTTATTTAAAACTAGCGACCTCTCCGCGCTTCGCTTGGGTGCGTCCCTAACAGTAACTTACGTGTTACTCAGTGGCGTAGCTATGCCAATGCAACCAATGCGGTCGCATGAGGCCCCTGCCTTAAGGGGGCCCTAGCGACAAACGACTTCTCGTTCAACTCGGAAGTCCACATTCGTTTTTATAACAGGCAAAGGCCCTTCCATTTTATGCCTTGGGACCCAAAAAGGGCGACTACTACAGTTCACAGTTTATTTACGTACTTAGTTTCATCCAAATTCGTCCATAATAATAAGTATTTCAACAAGATTTTCCTAAAAATATTTAATGTACAGATTTTACTCATTTAGAATTTTATTATAAGTACTAGCGACTCCCCCTAGCTTGCTTCCCAATAAAAACTTTTATCACAACAACTTTAAACATAAAATATTCTCGTATTTAAAACTAAATTAGACGGATAAATCATAGAACCAGGGCGCCTGAGCTTAGATCCGTTTTTTTTATGCGGAAGACATTAAAATTGTGTTTTTCTAGAAAAGACCTATATAACTACATAAACATAAACAGAAAAACTTATCTAAATATAAAATAAAAAAAAATGGTCCAAATCGTTAGATTTCCGGGATAAAAAGTATCCTATGTCCCTTCCCAGAGTCTCAAACTATCTTCTTACCAAATTTCATCTAAATTGGTTCAGTAGATCCAGAGATTACCCCCTACAACGTCACAAACTCACAAACTTTACCTCTTTATAATATTAGTATAGATAATGAGATTAATGGGATATACAAAAATAGCTAATTTGATATTATAAGATAATATATAAAACAAACGTGAGCTTCCTTGTACTTTTCATTGAATGCATTTGCATTAAATTGCGCAGAGCCTTGATATTTGATTTAGATGAACTTCCGCAGTCCACTAAACACCTTAATAGGATATTATATCCTTCAATGGCATTGTTTATGTATGCTGAAGGCTGTTTATTGTATTATAATTTTTTTAATTTAGCTTATTACATAACCGGTTTCTGGTTAAGATGCGCGTGCGCACATATTTTGATTTACTTCGTAGATATGCGCATAACACCATGTCTGATTTTCATGCCACATATAATAGGGAGAGCCATTTTTATCACAATATTTTGCTATTTAATAAAAGATACATTATACATCTATAAATAAAACAAATAAAATCATTAGCTTTTTTTTTAATTTCTTTTTTTTTTCTTAAATTATATTCGATACTAGCAACTCACTCTCGCTTCGCTCGGGTTCGTCCCTAATGAAGAACAAAAACAAATGAATCCTACGGGAACCGTACATAAAGTAACATATGTGCTATTCCAGACTTAATATATTTCTATGCGAAATTTCATCCAGATCCGTTCAGCCGTTTCGTCGTGATTGAGTAACAAACATCCAAACATTTAAACTTTCACATTTATAATATTAGTATAATCGTAGATGGGATTATTTTTTACCAACTTAAAAGGAAGGGCGTATTCAATTCCGTCGTTAGTTAAGTGCTTAAGGCATTTCTATGTCCATTATTTCCAATTTGTTTTAATTGAAGTTATACTTCTTATGGAACATTTGGAAAAAAATATGAGAGTAATATTTTTACGGTGCGCGCGCACATCGACAGCCAAACAGCGACATGATGAAGTTAGCTGTATACTTTTACAATGAGTTGTGACATACGGAATGAAATCTTTAGCGTTTTTTTTTGTTCTGTTACCCCAAAAAAATAAACCTTCTTACGTACGTACACACACACTTTTTTTAATTGATAATTAATAGGTTCTAACTACCCAAAATTTGGTATTTAACAAACAGAAAAATAATACAATCCTAAGGTGGAAACTACGGTTAAATAAATAAATAAATAGATATGTTGGGACATTAACACACAGCACCATCCAGTTCCATGGTAAGCTACGAGGCTTGTGTTATGGACACCAGATAGTTGATACACTAAACATATATAACTTTAAATACATACATATTATAAATATAAACATCCATGACTGGAGTACAAACATTCGTGCTCATCACACAAATGAATGCCCCCCAGCGGGACTCGAACCCGCGACCGCTGGCGAAGCAAGTAGGGTCATTACAAACTGAGCAAAACGTGTCGTCAATAAATTTGTCGATTAAAAAAGATAAGTGACTTAAAAACTCACTTTTACAGTCCAAAAATAATATTTCATAAATAAATTAATATTAAATAGCATTGGGTATTTATAACAATACATAATCGGATTTGCAAGAAACCCACGTGTTTCCGCCTCGCAGATATTGCCAATTTAATCAGAAGCGCATTGCCATGACGACCGTCAATTTATTTGTCGTTTTTTGTGTGTTTCTATAGGCTACAAAATTTTTATCTCCAAAAGAATATGTTGACCTCTAGAATAAAATTTTTTTTTAACCTCGTTTTGTACATAAATTATCAAGAATCATGAATATATTCATTATGATGTCATTAACCGACTTCCAAAAACGAGGAGGTTATATGTTTGTTTGTTTGTATTTTTTGTGTTTGTATTCAACCCTTTTTAATGTCCCACTGCTGGGGGTAGGCCTCCCTTCAATACGAGGGGGATCAGACCATAGTCCACCACGTTGGCCAAGTGCGGGCGGACTGAGCTTGTATTTCGAAAACTTGCTAAGTTTTCTCAGACATATACGTTTTCTCATGATATTTTACTGCACCGTAAAGCAAGTGGTAATCATGTTGGAAATGATTAGCACATGAAAATATCAGAGGTGCGAGACCCGGGATTTGAACCCGCTTCACTTGGTTCCCAAAGGAAGCGCATCACCACTGGGCTACCACTGCTTTTATTCCACTTTTTTCCACTCTTTCACTACTTTAAACTGTATTCTATTAAGGTAAGCTGTAGTAAAGTAAGCGATTGATAGCTAAAATTTGGAAGATATCTCGTGTGGACCGTATTTTGTTAATTTTTGAAAATCATGGAAAATTAACAAATGCTGCTGTTGTGTAACCAGGAGGCGAAAAAAAAACAAGTTTATTTTAGATAAGAATGCTTGTGTTTGGGTAGTTAAGTATTTTTTGAAATACGAGATACAAGCAGAACCCGCGGCTTCGCTCGCGCTAAAACTACAAAAAATCTCTAAAAAGGTCGTTTCATACAAACTTTCATCCCCTATTTTACCCCCTTATAGGATGAATTTCGAAAAATGCTAAAACACGTATTTATTTAATTTTATTGAAGAGCAATAATACCAAGTTTCAAGTGATTCTGATAATAAATATTTTTTTGGATTGTATTATAACGGTATTCCCGTGGGAATGAGATGATCTCCCGCTGTAAAAAGTAGCCTATGTCACTCACTCTCCAGTACTCCAACTATCTCCACACAAAAATCAACGCCAATCCGTCACTCCGTTTCGACGTGAAAGAAGGACAAACAAACAAACACACTTGCATATTTGTAATATTAAATTAGTTATTCGGTCAGCGGTAAAATTTATTATCCAGTTTTTCATATGCGTAATACTATATTTGCTAAGTTTATGAAGCACGCTCGGCAAAAAATGACTCAAATAAAAAAGTCATTTAAAACGTGTATTTCATTTTAAAAGACCATAATGTAATCAAACTATGTATATTTTCGATTGTTTCGCGAATTTATTATTATTTTTTTAAATAAAGGTGTTTTTTCCATGTCCCATTCATTTATTCCATCCTGTACAGGTAAATACATACAGAGTCGATGCACGATAATATACGATTCCTGTACAGGTGAATACAAAGTCGATACACGATAACATACGATTTTATTTAAAAACTAGCGACTCACCCTCGCTCAGCTCGGGTTCGTCCCTAGTTAGGTTTTAACATTTACGATAGATTTTCCAGAGATGAGATATTTTCCCGCAGTAAAAAGTATCCTATATGTTGATCCGGATAACCAGCTATCATCATACCAAATTTCATCAAAATCTGTCCAGTGGTTTTCTCGTCATGCGGTCACAGACAGACAGACAGACAGACAAAAATTCTAAAAACTATAGATTCCGCCTCTGTATCGATAATAATGACTATTTCAATAATATTTAAAAAAATATATTTGAGCAATGTATAGTTTCGACTCAGAATTTTATTATATGTATTGATGAATTATATAGCTATAGATTTTTTCTAGGTTTTAAAAGTAAAACAGAATTTCGATTAGTATGGGAATCGAGTTGCCAGTGAAAGCTGACAGTCGTCTCGAATATCGATGAAATTTTGATTTCCGCTTCGCGTGTCTCATACTTTGCGTTTATAATACGATGTGGCCCTCATATTTTGTGAGAAAGTGTTTGCTGTATGGCCTATCTACATGTATTATCTATACTTTATTGACCGACTTAAAAGAAAATAGGTTCAAAGTCAACAATGGAGAAGTTTCATGATGTTTTTAATATCATATTTAACGCACTGGATAAATCTGTACATATAATAAAATTGTAACTAAGCCGAATCTGTAAATTGAATATTTTTTTGGAATATCTTATTGAAATAAACATTATTATCGATACAGTGGCTGAATCTATAGTTTATAGAATTCTGTCTGTCTACCTGTCTGTCTGTTACCGCGTCACAGAAAGACCACTACAGGAATTTTTATGAAATTTGATATGGTGATAACTGGTTATCCGGGTCAACATATAGGATACTTTTTACCGCGACAAAATATATCATTTCTGAGGAAAAATTCAAAAACTAATGTAAGAGTATACTAATATGTAGAACCTAAGAATTTGGTTTTTGGTCATCTAAACGCGGGCGGAGCCGCGGGCAATGCTAGTGGATATATAATATAGATTAAAACTAATTAATCAGTATTTTTATAATATATCCATAAATGACTGAGATATTAGTATAAATTCCGGTCGTTCAGGTCGTGTGATGTCACGGAATTATTCTCACAAGCACAACTCTAAAGTTTCATAACTTTCTCTTTGTTGAGATATTTTAATAATTATTTTATATTTTAGCTATATTTTACTTAAATTTTTATATTTAATACCAAAAAAATTGGAAACTTCTCCATTGTCTAAAAAATGAGGTAGATACTGTGGTCATATCCTACCAATATTATAAATGCGAAAGTTTGCCAGGATGTATGGATGTCTGGACGTTTGTTACTCTTTCACGAAAAAATTTCTAAATGGATTTTAATAAAACTGTGTTATAATAAAGCTCATACATCAAAATAATATAGGCTACTTTTTATCCCGGAAAAATGTACGGTTCCCGTGGGATAGATTTTTTTTTTGTTTTTCTATATGCTATATACAAAAACATCGTTTTGTAGCCATGTTTTACTATGTGTTAAAGCGAAAGTTTCCAAAAGCTCGACATAATTTTGCTCAAGGCTAAAGCTGGCTTGCAAATTTATATACGCGCGGGATAATTAAGTTTTTATTTCAAACAAAAACTGAGAATTTATGATAGCGCTGTTTGTACGCCATATTTTGTACAAGCATTTTCCCGTGGTTTTACTTTACAAAAAATATTTCTGTATTTCGTAGCATATTTAGAAGAAACCGCTAGCCTTACTTTATTTACTATTTTGTTAATAAGACATTTTTTTTCATCCTGATAGTTAAATGGGACTTCTCTTTAAAAATGATAACTAACAAAACGAATCTAGTAACACCTGTCGTAAGGTTATATTTAATTTTAATAATAATTATGACTCCCGACCGAATTCCGGCCACGGCGGCCAATCTCATTGAGACTAGCCAGCGCAGGGCAAATATATATAGTATAGTGCAGACACAAGTGCACTCTCTATTCCTGTCACTCTCAAACTCCGGTGGGACGACTGCTCGACACGACCAGTGAGAGATAAGGCACAGGAGCGTCAGCTTTACGTGCTCTCCGAGGTACAGGGATTAAACACCGCCAACTTCCCAACTCCAGGCTGTTACTGAGACTAAACAAACTAAACAGAAAGACTCAATAACTAAACTTGGTCCGACCCGGGACTTGAACCCAAGACCTTCGGATGTACCATACATGCAATATACATACAATATTTAAATTTCGGTTCCAGTTTCATAGAGAAAACTAAGTACGCTACGCTAAATACTATGCCCACGTCCGTTGTTTGAACGGTACGCGTGAATTTTGACACTTACAAGCAAATATTTGCATATCCATCGTGTTGGTAACTCTCTACGAGAGAAATCGCCAGAATGAAGGATTTGCTCTCGTTTAGTATTTTACACAGTTATTTTAATTTGTCTACTAGAAATTTTTTTGTTGGAAGTTTAAAAATGGAGATCAATTTGCTTGTTTGAACTGGTTCAGTCAAATGATTCAATTTTCTTAAAAATATCTGAGAGAAATATATTTATAAGTTTATATCAGCCTTACCAGCCATTAAAGCGTATTTTTTATTATGTAATTTTTGCCACTTAATATGATGTAGGTTTTTTACTTTTTAGCACCTTTAAGTTCATTTTCTGTAATTTTAATTTTAGTGTAAACATTGTTGTAGCGAATGTCATTCTTTTTTATTAATACCTTCAGTTGTTTTTTATTTTATTTTTTTATATCAATTACATTTTCAACAAATTTTCCTGTTATTTGGCCATTTACCAGAACTCAACATACAAAAAAAAACGATGAAAAAACAAATATGTTTTTGTTTCAGAGCAATGTCTAGAAAGAAGCATGATGATAGTAGTGGGATAGACCTAACAATTTCTCCATCTAGTGGTGATAAGAAGAAGAAAATGAAGAAGAAGAAGCAGAAGCCACCAAAAATCCACTTTGTCCAGCCAATGATGATGCCGATGAAGAAGATGGAAGATAAAGGTCGTGGTTTCGGCAGAGTTCAGACTTGGGTCGTAGGGAATGTGACCGGAGGGAAAGGAAGGGGTTTTGTCTCGGACGTATTGAATGTAGGAGAGAAAGCATTAGATGCAGTAGCAGAGCATGTCATAGAGAAGGAGAATTCAGAAAATGGATTGATAGATCGCAGTTCTGTTGAAGGTGATGGTGCATGATGTCTTAGATTAGATGTAGTAGATGTTCTTCTTCAAAGAAGAAATACTATATACTTTTGATCTAGATCTAGATATTTTTTAAGGTTTTTTTCAGTAAAATAAAACTTTTTCCAGGTTATAAAAAAAATAAAGTCAGAAAGAATATTTTCGAAATACTCATAATAATTATTTTCATCTTAGGTTAGATTTGGCTGTTTTTTTTTTTTAAATGAGAGATGCTGTAATCTTTTGATCTAGATCAAGATATATATTTTTTAATTATAGACATTTTTTCAGAAAAATAAACTTTTTCCAAGTTATATAAAAAAAATTATAAGAAATTTACAAAAAGGATATTTTCTTAGTTTTCATAATAATTATTTTCGTTACGTTAATTGTTAATATTCTTTGTTTTTCAGACTAGAAAGAAATGATGAATTGGTAAATCTTGGATTCGTTAGAGCATGTCATTTAAATTCTTGCACGTTTTATATAGAGTTTGTTTCACGAAACTTAGTTTAGTCTAAAATGGCGGTGGCCTATTATTATAAGAATTTTGTCATGTTCTTCTAAGAATTTTGATTATATATGTGTTTAGAAGAAAAGTATATATTGGCCGCAAATTCATTTTCACTGATCGCTTGGCTCAGTTTGTAGTGACCCTACTTGCTGTGTCAGCGGTGCGGGTTCGAGTCCCGCTAGAGACATTCATTTGTGTGATGAGCACGAAAGTTTGTACTCCAGTCATGGGTGTTTATATTTATAATATGTATGTATTTAAAGTTATATATGTGTAGTGTATCAACTATCTGGTATCCATATACATCACTTTTATTGACGTAGATGATGTAATGTTTTAAATTGGCTCAAATTTATTCAACAGCTAATAAAAAAATATGAGGAATTGTAAAATACAATAAATAAAAACACAATCTACAAATTAAATGTCAGAAGGCCAGTCCTCGTACGTGGTTTTCCCTTTTCAACTTTTTTTCTTCCGACATACTCAATATATATATAAATATGTATATATATATATATATATATATATATATATATATATATATATATATATATATAATGCGTATGTCGGAAAAAAAACTGGACTAAACACAAACATCAACCAACAATTAACGGTAATGGGACGGGTGACGTTATAAGAAAGGAAGTCATAGGTAGGATACAAAAGTTTGGGGCAGCTTAGAATTCTAATATTCTAGATTTATATATAAACATATATATATAATATACTAGAAACCTCGAGCGAACAGTCCTATAAAGATGATAAATAACCAGATGAGACCTTCTTTGTTAGAATTATTTAAGGACATTAGCAGAAGTATGTTATGGAGATCACGATATACGGGTATCATTTAAAATTAGTAACGCACGATCATATAGAGTAATGATTTCTTAGGAATCTGGCTTTTCTTTTACTGAGAGGCGTATTCTTCTAGTTTTTCGTAGTTATAGTCATTGTAGTAAATAGACCACTCTAGTTGTATCATGTAGTGTTTTAAGAACAAGTAATGAAGTGTGTAGTGTAGTGTTGCATTTCTTTGTTCAGTGTAGTGGGTACATAATATGTACATCAAACATATTTCCAGTATTAAAGAAAATAATATTTGAATAATCATCCTAATTCATCATCAAACGCCTAAACAGATCTTCATGTAATAGATTTCAAACAAAAAAACTCCATCGAAATCGGTCCATTCGTTTAGAAGCTACGATGCCACAGACAGACACACAGACAGACATGTTAAACTAATAACACCCCTCCTTTTAAGACGGGGGTTAAAAATATATATTAAAAGGCATGTCATTTTGTGCAATTTTTGTTTGTTTGTTTGTGATTACATTAATAGGAAGGAGCTGAACGAGTTTTTGTGACAATACATATTTACCTGAACCATAAACTATAAATATTAAATATTTCGATTATAGCCACAAATAACATTTGAAACAAAGTAACTTTACCATTATACTTAGATCCTCGATCAACAGTAGTATTGTTGATCGAAGATATAGATCGACTGTATGTTTGTATAGAGATGTAGAGCGAGTCATGTTTAGTACTAGTATACTTTGGTGTATGATACCTTTTTTTATCCTATATATATATATATATATATATATATATATACATGTATATATATATATACATGTGTATATATATATATATATATATATATATATATATATATATGTTATAAGAATTCTTTATATATTTTACTAACACAAAATTGATAATTTAGAACAAAGAGGCAAAAAGAAGAAGAAGAAGAAGGCCATCCTCAAACTTCTGATCCTCGGAGCTGTGCTTAAAGCCAAAATCGGAACAATATTACAAATTTTATCATTTAAATTGCAGGTAACGATATGAGTTTTTAATGTTTTCTTATCATTTTAATGTATAATTTAAACTTGAGTTATAAGATTAAAGCCTAAAGTATCTAGGCTAAACTAGATTGTCCTGTGCTAAACTAGTATATCCTGACACACTTAGGATGAACTAGTTTGGCCTAGGACAAACTAGTTTTGCCTGAAATCGGGTTTGGCCGGTAACATATATATATACATTAAAAATAAAAAGTTTAGTAACTATAAGAATTTAATAATTCAATATATTATTTAAAAAAAATTAGCTTCACATCCACTGACTTCTTCTTAGCAGTTAATAAAAAAATAATGTTTTATTTATTATCAATAAGTATTATTATTAAAGAATTAATGTTAATATTTGACATATTTTAGGTCAAATTCTTCATAATAGCGCTGATCGGTCTCGCTATCAACTTGGCAAGATTCTGGGTTGAATTGAAGAATAAACACAACCAACAACCTCAAAAGGTAAGTGAATAACAAGATCTTTACGGTTTTTGCCCAAATATTATATATTAGTATGTTGTATATGGTACCATATACTTATAGGGTTGGGATGTAAAGTGATTTACATATGTGTGTGTTACTAGCGACTTATCCACGCTTCGCTCGTGTTCCCTATGTTAATTTTTTTGAGCAGAACCATAATATCTTTTCTAAAATAAGAGTAGCCCAAGTTACTAAGTTTAAATTCTTTTGCTGGACTATTACCGTTTAGAAGGTGCAATAAAAATATTTTTATTTTTGTAAACTTTAAGAAATATGATTATTTTTTTCATTGTTGTTTATCAGTTGTCACAGACAGCCTACGCACATTTTTTTTATATATTTCTTTACACAAATTCTTGTCTAACCCATAACAATAATGTATACATCCAAATTTTTGTTTCATTCGTTAAATTAATTTCTCATGAGATCTTTGAATCGAACTGTTCATCATCACCCTTCTGACGGTCTCGTCTATGCGCACTATCCCACCTTCAGTACAGTACAGGCTAGCATTTAGTTTAGCTGTAGTTGCCGTTTGTAATGTCAAAATAACATTTTTTTACTAAATGGATTATATGGAATTATATACGGTACTTATAAGGAAAACACAATTAAAAAAAAAATCTATCTTTCTGTCTGTTTGCTTTGGCTAATCTCCGAAACGGCTGGACTGATTTTGACGGGACTTTCGCTGGCAGATAGTTGATGTTATAAGTAACTTAGGCTACATTTATTTTAGAAAAAATTATTGGTTTCCGCTCAAAAAATCGGAGCGAAGGTAAGTAGCTGATTATATGTACAATTCAAGTTTATTCTTTGCCCCTTTTGCTGCACAAAAGAACGGCAAGTTAACAAATCGACAAACACACTTTCGCATCTGTAATCTTGTACGGGCTTCATTTTCTTATTTACATTTACTTTAGTCAAGGGGCTGTATAATATTTTATTTCAGACATTTACTTAATGCTTATCCATTTGCAAGTCTAAAATCTTCTACGAGTAATTTCGAATTCCTATAATTTATAGATGAAATTAGAAGGAAGGTGTGTCATGAGAAACGTTATTTAATATTAAAATGTCCTCTGATTCCGACCACGGTGGTCAATCTCACAGAGACCAGCCATCGTAGGAGATATTATATAGTACAGTGCGGACACAACGTGCACTCTCTGTTCCTGTCACTCTCATACTCCGGTGGGATGTTACGAGACACGACCGGTGAGAGTTAAGGCGGAGGATCAATGGCTTTATGTGCTCTCCGATGCACGGGGGTGAACACCGCCATCACCCAACTCCAAGCTGTTTCTGAGAATTGCTTAGCAGAAACACTCAATAACTAAACTTAGCCGATCCGGGACTCGAACCTTGGACTTTCGCATGTGCAGCCGTACTCGCTAGCCACTAAACCACCAAATCAGATAATACTCTAAACAATAGTGTAAGTTCAAACATAGCTGTGTTTGATACAGAACTCACTTGTACGGTTTTTCACCTTCTTTCTAAACTATTTAATTAAATCCTATGCTTCCACTTTCAACAACCACTCAGACAGAGAGTTATTGTCGGATTTATAAGATTAGCATGTATTAATGATGGCCATAGCTTATGATAAATATTCCTTTCTTAAACTAATCGATGGGAAATAGATACTTGTACCATATTCTAACGGTTAGGTACTGGTTGTTCACGCAAATGACTGCGATTTGCTTAACATTCATCATTGAGTTTTAGAATTCCTTACAATTTATTGCTATGTATGGAATGAATGAGTGAAAGTTTTACACTTGCTGCGAATCTAGCTATATATGTATGTACGTCTCAGACTGCGTACAATTTTCCTTCGATAGCTTGTTGCCTGCTTTTTAGTTCGCATTATATGTTGTCGGGGTTTTTGTTAATTGTTTAATGTTAAATTTTGTTACTTTAAATTATTATTAAACATTAGTTGAGTATATTTTTGTGATCACCTCTTGAAAAATCTTTATTTTGACATCCCACTCGATGAGTTAGGAAGAAAAAAATTTTTTTGGGACACACAAATTGGCCGCCATTTCGATTTTTAATAATACCCATGCTACCTACCAATACGTATAGATTATCAATATCGGTGTAACCTTTTAGTAAATGCGAGAGAACATAAGAACGGACTTAGATATATACAAACAAGTCAAACACATTAACCCTCGTTTGGATCATCACATTTGGTAAAAAATTTAGATGCTTCTTGAAAGTCTTAAGTCCGATAAACAATTACTACTGAGTGCAATTAAAACTAGATCAACGTCTCTATCAAGTATTTTCTGTAATCGAAACTCGGCTATTTATGTCAATACAACGATAATCACATACTTTAAACGAGTTATACGGTTATATGAGAACACTGAGCTCCGTTAACATGCAAATATATGTTTAAGCGTGTTTGTGCTATGAATGTATGTATGTTTTAGAGAAATAACTACTTTCAAGATTCCTCTCTGTATGACTCACTTGTGTGTTGTAGAAAACTCATTTTGAAACGCATTTTGTTCACAATTTCATGGGATTTAAGATTTTTGCGAGGAATCCTGATTCTTTTTCTAAAATGAAAGCGGTCTAACTTAGTCCTTTTAATATCTGCTTTAAATTATTCTTTCAGTGGAAAGTCTCGTCAAAATCGGTCCAGCCGTTTCGGAGAGTAGCCGGAACAAACAACAGACAAAAATTATAATTACCGTATATGCTTTTTATAGGTGATTTTAGCTTTGTTTATTAATAACTAGCAATTTACCCTCACTTCGATTGGATTCATCCCTAGGTACCTACGTTTTAACGGTCAGTATAGATGTCTCAGAGATAAGACATTTTCCCGCAGTAAAAAGTATCTTATATGTTGACCCGGATAGCCAGCTATCATCCTCGGGTTCGTCCCTAGGTTGATTTCCCATACAAACTTTCATTCAAATTTGCATCCCTTTAAGGGATGATTTCCGGGATAAAAAGTACCCTATGTCCTTCTCCGAATCTCAAACTATCTTTTTACCAAATTTCATCAAAATCTGTCCTGTGGATTTCTCGTGATGCGTTCTCAGACAGATAAAACAATTAAAAACTTAGGATTTTTGTCTGTCTAGATTCGGCCTATGTATCGATAAGGTAAAGAGTCGCTTATCTATACTAATCTATACTAATATTATAAAGAGGTAAAGTTTGTGAATTGTTTGTGACGTTGTAGGGGGTAATCTCTAGATCTACTGAACCGATTTAGATGATTTTTTTTAAGAAGATAGTTTGAGACTCGGGGACGGATATAGGATACTTTTATCCCGGAAATCATCCCTTAAGAGGATGAAAATGGGGATGAAAGTTTGTATGGGGAATCAAGCTAGGGACGAACCCGAGGAAAAGTGAGCCGCTAGTAAATAAAACAATGATTAAACGTTCGAACCCTAAACTTTCAAATTCATCTTTTAAGTTGCTGTCAAGATCAAACGAGATTATGATACAATTTGAATAATACTCACTTTCTCTTTAATGGACCAACAATTTGATGAACAATAATTTAAATTGCAAATATATCTACATACATATATTATAATCTTATTATCAAAGATAAGAGCGCTCTAACTATAAAAAAGTGAAAGTTTTATCACAATTTGTTAATCTTTTAAATATTTTGATCGTAATACAAAATGGAAATCGCTAACTAGTTACAATTGCCAAAATTTGTATGTATGTTACTTCTTCATGATAAAAGGCTGGACCGATTTGGATGAAGTACGCGGATAGACTATGACCTAGATTTAAATATAGGTACCTTAAGCTCAGCCTAGCGAAGTAAATATATATCGCTTGTATGCTATAAGATATATATCTGTACAGATAAATAAAATTGAAGTGTCTGTTTGTAATATAAAAATTACAGCGTTTTACTAAATGCATATGAAATTATATACGGTACTTATAAGAAAAACACAATTTTTTAAAAATTTTGTCTGTCTGTCTGTACGTATGTCTGTTTGTCTCGGTTAATCTCTGAAACGGATGAACTGATTTTGACGGGGCTTTCACTGGAAGATAGCTGATGTTATAGGGAGTAACATAGGCTACTTTTATTTTAGGGTTCCGCTCAAAAAAATTAAAACGTACCTAGAGATGAACCCGAGCGAAGCGATGGTGACTCGCTAGTACATACATATGTATAGAATCACTTAATCTATACAAATTAGTGATGTAGCGAATGTTCGATTTTTCACATTCGCGAATGCGAAATACGAATGCGAATGCGAATGTTCATGTCCAATATTTGCGAATGCGAATGTTGACTTTTTTTAGTGGATCTGGACTTCTTTACACACCTCACCAGAACAGGCTGCATAGCGAAAAAGCCTCAGCAATAGTAATTTAATATTGGTTCAAATATATTTTTTTTGTTGTCTGTAAAAATAATTTATATAAAACTAGCTGTACCCGCGGCTTCGCCCGCGATCAAACTACTAAAAAAAACAAACCCTTTGTCACACCGACAGCAGCGCCACCTACCGTGTACAATTGTGAATCTAAACCATTCCCAGATCCCCTTGAACACACACAAAAAATTTCATCAAAATCGGTCCAGTCGTTTGAGAGAAGTTCAGTGACATACACACTCACAGAAGAATTATACATATAAAGATAAAAATAGACATTATATGCTCGATTTCACCAACATCCCATAAGCTACCACCTACGTATGGAATCCCTAGCTTAAAAGTTCCCCTAAACTAGCCCCTAAATTAAATTTCGTTTTACCATCGTCAGAGCCCGTATTTCTAGTACATATATTTACGTGACATTTTAACATTTGGGTGACCCCTAACTGTCGGTGAAACAGAAACTGTCCCCTAACAGCCCCCTAACCATGCTTAGGGGATCCCTTAAGCTTAGGTGACGTTTGTGAAATCGGCCAATAATCTGTTAAATAAGTAACAAGAACAAGTCTTACATAATTGTACCACGACTTATTAGAACTAGTATTTATTTATTTATTGAGACCTCTAAAGTTCTTTTTTCATAGAAGATACTATAATTTATGTTTTTTTTTTTCATTTTTTTTAGTTCAGTTGTGATTTTTTTTTATATTTTAGTTAGAGTAAGAAGAACAAAAGAGAGAGTATATCTTATTTAGTTGCCTGCCTCAAGACTGTTCCATAATGATTTTTTTATTCAAATATTATAATAAGTAAATAAAAAATATAAATTTTATCAGTTATATTATCATCTAAATAATTTCATTTTTGTATGTCAAATATATTCGGCCAACATTCGCATAATTTCTTGCGAATACAAATGCGAATGCGAATGTAAAAAATATAGGTACTTATAATAGTATATTTCTGTATAAATGCGAATGCGAATATTCGTTACATCACTAATACAAATTAATAAAATTGAAGTGTCTGTTTGTAATGTCAAAATAACAGCTTTTTACTAAATGCATATGAAAGTAAACACGGTACTTATAAGAAAAAAAAACATATTTTGTCAGTCTGTTTGTTCCGGCTAATCTCCGAAACAGCTGGACCAATTTTGACGGGACTTTCACTGGCAGATAGCTGATGTTATAAGGAATAACTTAGGCTACTTTTATTTTATAAAAAGAATTAAGGTTCAGGAAATTGTGAACAAAATCCGAATAAATAGGGACGTATCGGAGCGAAGCGACAGTAATTCGCTAGTATAATATATGAAATTATAGTTGAAAAGCCCACTCCTTTTTTTCAAAGTTGGTAAATTGAATACACAAAAGTAAACAACAGTATGATTATTGATGAACGTGAATAGGTTGAGTATTAAGGTTAGTGAAAGTGACCCCTGACCGGGTTTTAATATACTGACTTAAGTAGGTACCTGTAGCAGCGGAAGCCTTTGTATCTAGGCTGCCAGTGCAAGAGGCCTAGCCTTGCGACTTTTTATATGTAAAAGTTGAAATATTTGTGTATGTATATTGTACGTATGTATGTATGTATGTATGTACTTTTATTGAATTTATTCGTTATAACCCGACTCGAAAAGAAAGGGATGTTATAAGTTTGACATGTATGTCTGTGTGTTGGTGTGTTTGTATGTCTGTCTGTGGCGTCGTAGCTCCTAAGCAAATGATTGACCGATTTTGATGTAGTTTTTAGTACTTACTCATTTCAAGTAAAAGGCAGTGGTAGTCCAATGGTTGTGCGCTCGCTTGAGAAATGTTTTATTTTCTAATACGAATCATTTCTAACAAGATTACCACTTGTCTTACGGTGAAGGAGAACATCGTGAGAAAACCTGCATGTCTGAGAGAACCTAGCAAGTTTCCAAAAGACATGTGAGGTCCGCCAACCCACACTTGGCCAGCGTGGTGGGCTATGGCCTGATACCCCTCGTATTTAAGGGAAGCTCATTCCTAGCATTGGCACGTTAAGAAAAGAGCGGAATACCCATTTCTGATTTCGGGTGTATATCGTAGCGTCTTATTAATTGAACCAGCGATTCACCCTCGCTTCGCTCGTGTTCGTCCCTAGTTATGTTTTATTATAATTATTGTTTAGTATAGATTTCTCAGAGATGAGACATTTTCCCGAAGTAAAAAGTATCCTATATGTCGACCAGCTATCATCATACTACTGTCCAGTGGTTTTCTCGTAATAGGCTCACAAACAGACAGGCAAAAAATTCTATAAACTATAGATTCGGCCTCTGAGTCGATAATAATGATTATTTCAATAAGATTTTCCAAAAAATATTTCATGTACAGATTCTATTTAGAATTTTATTATATGTATAGATTTTTTTTTAATGAATAGGTCATATCTCAAAATTCTAGTACTTTCTAGACCTAGAGACCTAATTTAAAAAAAAACACCTTAAGGGATAGAATTCCCTTTAAAGTGACATTGAAGTTAACAAATAAATGTTTGTTTCAGGTAATATATTACGAGCATGCACAGCATCAACACCACTATGAACATGAGGACGAGCCGGGATGGGGACCTTGGTCCAGGAGTATGGAACCTGAGGTAAATATAAATATCATCGGTATATATATATATATATACATATATATGTATATATATATATATATATATACATATATATGTATATATATATATATATATATATATATATATATAACCCACTCCTGGGGGTGGGCCTATGGTAAGTACTAGAATAACTTATTGGTTATAAAAGAAGTGAGATCTAACTCGATATCAAGTTCTTTCGATGTTTCTTAAATCACAGTTGCTTTTATGCACAACGTTCTTCTGTAGGTTTAAAACTTTACTTGTATTTTTCTCTTTAATACTCAATATTGAAAATATACAGGTATAGAAAAAAGTTTAATCTATTTTTATCATTAAAATATAATTAAATTAATATGGCGTGTTTGTTTGTTTGTGTATAACATTTGAGAAGTGAGTGTTATCTTTTTGTACTGCTTAAAAAATTAGCATTACATTAAATATCACACAAATGAATGCCCCCAGCGGGACTCGAACCCGCGACTAGTACAGTAAGTTGGGTGGACAAACATAGCGTATTTTACCATCACTTTGTAACTTATATTTACCGACGATATTTACCACAGGAAACGGAAGTGGAAGTACCGGAAAACCCAATCCACAACTCTCCATACAGAGCCTACGAGAAAAACGCACAGGTGTTTCCAACCAGACCGCTTTTAACTTTATCATAATTTAAATCGATTTTCCCAAGATTCTACTAGAACAATGTCGTATCTTAAATATTTATTGCTGTATAATAAATATTTTATTAAATTGGCAGTTTTTAAAAATTAAAAAAGTCAATACTCGTAAGAGAAAGTTGAAAGGAGTTTCAATTAACTTTTTCAGCGGATCCCTAATTCTTTTTCTAAAGTAAAAATAGCCTATGTTACTCTCTATAACATCAGCTATCTTCCAGTGAAGGTCCCGTTAAAATCAATCCAGCCGTTTCGGAGATTAGCCTGAACAAACGGACAGACAGATAGACAAAAATTTCAACAATTGTGTTTTTTTTATAAATACCGTATAAACTTTCATATGCATTTAGTAAAAAGCTGTTATTTTGTCATTACAAACAGACACTTCAATTTTATTTATCTGTATAGATTTACACGTAAGCGTTTTACTTCTAAAACAATTAATTTTTAGATTATTGTGATTTGAAAAAAAAAACGATAATGCAATATTAAACCAAAAGAAAATTTCTTTCAATGCTATAATTTTTTTCAATACGACTTTGTTCTACGAAATACATTATTTATTTTAGTCAAGAATAATTAAGTTAATAATTGTTTTATTTTATAAGATATGAAAGAGAAATCGAAAATATTACAAAATGAGGCTCTCAGTGAAATGGTCTTACGTTAAAATAATATCTATGAAAAAAAACTTAATTTATGCACATTTATGTAAATTAATTTACTTAAAACTAACAGTTATTAAGAATTTTTTATAAAAAAAAAGATCAAATTTTCAAAATTCTTAATTTTAAATTTGTGTTAGACCATTTTGCCTCTAATTAACATGTAAATAGTAAAAACTATTAAATATTTATTATTTATTCTACATTTTACTCTATCATAAATAAAATTAAGAAAAAAAATGCATTTTCCTTTAAATTTAAATAATTAATTAATTAATTTATTTATTGAGTGTAAGTGAAAGCCATAATGTGTTTTATTTATTTGTATGTGTGTGTTGAATAAATGATTTTTACTGATATTTATTTTATTTATGTATATTAATAATATTATTTTTTATATTCCCTCATATTGTTATTCCACACATTTCTTTATTTGTAAAGGTTTCTAATATTCATTGCATTTATAAATAAAGCAATAACAAGGACATGTAATGCCATCTATTGACATTTACTTAAACTATTTTTCAATTGAAAGATTTAACCCAAAACCACAGATCACGTAATACTATGCTAAGTAGAGATGTCTCATCCCATCCCAAAAGATATTAGTCATCCTCTCAGGCCAAACGCGTTCACTGCTGGACATGGGCCTACATTATAATATATATGTATATATATTATATATATGTATATATAATATATATAATATATTATATAATATATTATATATATATATATATATGTACTGCACATGCGCGCAGAAACAAGTGCACTCTCTATTCACTGTCATACTCCGGTGGGACGACCACTCGACACGACCAGTGAGAGTTAAGGCGCAGGACCGACGCGACACGTGCTCTCCGAGGCACGGGCGTGACACACCGCCAGTTCCCAACTCCGGGCTGTTACTGAGGCTTACTATACAGAAAGACTCAATAACTAAACTTGGCCCGACCCGGGACTCGAACCCCGGACCTCCGAGTGTGCAGCCGTACATGCTAGCCACTACACCACGAGGCAGTAGTAGTAGCAGACTTAAGAGTATATGCGATAGATATAAGAATCCGGTTAGATAGAAAGAGATAAAATATTACTCTCTCCCCTTTGTGTGATATTCGTTTGAATCATATTTTTGCTAAGTATATAATACTAAAAACTCTAACACACTTCCATAAAAACTTTTTTTTACTGTCATTACATTGTTTGTGACTTCTAAGAATTTAAATTAATTTATAAAAAGACTAGCATTGCCCGCGGTTTCACCCGCGTTCAGATGACCAAAAACTAAATTCTTAGATTTTACATATCAGTATACTCTTACATTGCAATTTTTGTATTTTTCTCAGAAATGAGACATTTTCCCGCAGTAAGAAGTACCCTATATGTTGACCCGGATAACCAGCCATCATTATACCAAAGTTCATCAAAAAAATTTTCATCAAAATCTGTCTAGTGGTTTTCTCGTGATGCGGTAACAGACAGACAGACAGAAGACAGACAGAAATTCTAAAAACTATTGAATCGGACTCTATATCGATAATAATATCTATTTCAAATAGATTTTCCAAAAAATATATTATGTACAGATTCGACTTAGTTACAACTTTATTATATACTAGCATTGCCCGCGGCTCCGCCCGCGTTCAGATGACCAAAAACTAAATTCTTAGGTGTTACATATTAGTATACTCTTACATTGAAGTTTTTGTATTTTTCCTCAGAAATAAGATATTTTCCCGCGGTAAAAAGTATCCTAGGATCGCGCGCTACATCGCCCGGTTTATATAGCTTGAGCAGGCGGTCGAGCGATGCGGGGCAGAGGGGATGGACTCGCCGTAGGCATCTCAATGCTCGCCAAGCATTAAAAATGTTTCGCTACTAATTACTTCTAACAACGATATCTCAAAAACTATTCATCTGATTGATTTAGTGTAAAGAGCAATTTTAATCTGCATTAAATGACTAAGCTAACTAAAATATTCATTTGGATAAGGATTAATACCGAACTAAAGAAAATAACTTTGAAAATAACGTAATGTTTTTAATTAAAAATGTTAACATAAAAGTGGTTATTGTAAGTCAACCGTAAGAGATAGAGATATGCTATCGCGGACTTTTTTGTAGCATTTTTATAGATTTTGAATTCTCTAGTACATTACTTAACTGTATCTTTGCTAGTTTACGCGGCGTTCGCGTGGAAAGTTCCCATTTGGCGAGATTTTTGCGACCTCTTCAACATTTGTCGCCGTATTTCAGCTAATTTACATAAAAGCATAATAAATTATATACCTAAACCTTCCTCAAGAATTACTCTTTCTATTGTTGAAAACCGTATAAAATCCGTTCAGTAGTTTTCGAGTTTATCGCGTACAGACAGACAGGAGGACAGACAGGAGGACAGAAAGACGCGGCCGGGGGACTTATTTTTATAATAAGTATAGATATAGACATAGATTAACACCCACTATATTAATAATAGCAATTAATATTTCAATCTGACAATCTTTCATGAGGAAGGAAAATCAAACACACATATATATATAAAAACCGAAAATATACTTTTCATAGTACACATATTTAAACACAAATAACATACCACAGGCACTACTTCATCAAACTAGCCTAACGAGGCGAATATTTAGGGTTCTCTGGCGCGTATGTGAAACTCCTTAGCTCGTACGAGACGCCATTTTGGTTTTCGTAACCAATTTCGCGGTTGTCAAAGTCGCTGCAACCGCCGAAAACCCGGTTGGGTTCTCGGTTTGCGTTTTCTGGTTTCTCTGGTTTCTCCTTTGCTTTCGACGAGGATGGTAAGGCATCGTTATTGGACAAAGGTTTGAATAAGGCGGAATGTGCGGTCGCCGTGTCTAAATCGGCTTTGCGAGACACGAGGATGCGAATATCAGTATGTAGGTACAATTTGCCTGATTTTGATGTCATAAATCTGAAAAAATAGAATTATTTTATCTATATATAATAAATTATAAAATTAAACAAATATTTGAATTTGATGTGGAACGATCCACCCATGATTTTAACCCTGGACTGGTAAGTGGTAAGTGGATACTATGACCTGATCCCCCTCGTATTGAAGGGTAGCCCATGCCCAGTAGTGGGACGTTAAAAAGGGGTTGAATACACAATCAATTATATCATACAGCATTACGTTTTGGGGTGAATCAGCTAATATTGAGACTGGAAAAGCCCAGACAGCAATTTCAAAAGTTATGCCCAACAAACCAATCTACTTCCCAACGGCGGACTTGTACACTCTTAGCAATGATCTGTAAGACAACCTTTTGTTTTACAAACTGTTCTTCGAAAGCACTCTGAGCTTCCTTATAACCCTAGTTAGTATATTATATACGAGTACATATGTACTAAACGCAGATCCCACAATATATGACAAATTATTTCTGCAAGAACCGCTGTCGCTAAACGTCACTACCCATATCTAAGCTGTTTACAATAGAATCAATAAATTGTTAAATATACGAGTATATCTTATCATTGTAATATCTGAATATTTAGCATTTAAATCCATTGCGTATGAAGAGACTGAAGAACTTTTGACCATTGTTTATTAAAGAATCTCAAACACACATTTACAAAATCACATATACACAAATACACACATACACGAACACACAAACACATACATCATCATAATATTGTTATTCTGTTTTTATAAAACAGTTTAAATATTCTACGGAGGCGGGCTTTAATATCTTACCAAACCAAAAATTTTATACTTTCTTAGATTTATGCGAATATTTGACATTTAAATTAAACTATCTTTTCGGATTTTCGAAATCCAAAAAGATAGTTTTATTTAAAAGCCAAAAATTTCAATTAATTATATTTAAAATCAGTGGGCCACCTGAAAATGTTGAGTATTTTTTTTTCTATTTCAATAATTTTGTTTTTTTATAAAGCTACAAATTCTACCACCAAGCTAAGAAAAAAAAATTAAAATACTTTTTTTTCGTTCCACCCTAATGTATAAAAATTGTCACTGAATAAATAAATTTCATTGCACATACATACATTTCTACATACATCTCATACAAAACCAGAAATGACCGCTCACCTCAAATGAATGAGATATCTCAACCATTTGTGGACACGATCGGGCGCTGGCGGGTCGGCGCCGGCCGGCATGTAGAGCGTGCGCTGGCGCAAGAAAGTACGCGCCAGAGGCGGCATCGCGCGCAGATCGTACAGCACCACGAACATCTTGACCAGAGTACCGTGAGGGTTGAACAGCGACACCTGGATGGTGCCTGATGAGGCCACTCGGTACCCACCGGGGCCTAGGTTTATGTGGCCCTGGAAGATCATGTTATTAATTATTATATGAAGGGCACAGCCAAAAAACAGAGAATTTGATTTGTTTTGTCTGTGGTACTTACACTGCCAACCACTGGTTTTTACAAATACTCAACAAATGTCGCTAAAATACGTTTTTATCTACGCCGAAAGCGAAAAGAACTGGGAAAATCTATAAAATACCGGTAGAGAAGGAGGATTGTCCAAAAATATACACGGTAAAAAATGACTGCATACTTTGATCTCAATAAAAATATTATAACTTCTAAACTTTAAGTTGGTTTTCTTTGCTTGTTATTTTGTTGTTTATTATTATGAGCAATCGAGTCTCAATAGTCCGGTGGTGACCGCCATTTTGAAACGAGTCCATTAAATTTAAAAATTGCCTGGTTGATCTAGTGGCTAGCATGAACGGCTGCGAGTGCTGAGGTCCTTCCTGGGTTCGAGACCGAATTTGACCTAATTAGACCCAGAATTGGGAAGTTGGCGGTGTTGCACCCTCGTGCCTCGGCTCTCACGCGTCGCGTCGATCCCGTACCTTAACTCTCACCGCGAGTATCGAAGTAAAGTCAGAAGGACATTATTATAAAGAGGTGAAGTTTGTGAGTTTGTGACGTTGTAGGGGGTAATCTCTGGATCTACTGAACCGATTTAGATGAAATTTGGTAAGAAGATAGTTTGAGACCCTGAGAAGGGCATAGGATACTTTTTATCCCGTAAATCATGTTAAGGTGATGAAAACGGAGATGACAGTTTGTATTGGGAAGCAAGCTAGGGACGAACCCGAGTAAAGCGAGGATGACTCGCGAGTTACCATATAAGGCGCGTTAGTCCCTCCCGGCGCGTAGAAGAAGGCAGTGACTGGCAGGCGACGATGCGGCGGACAGAAGGCACCCGATGCACCCAGTTCCGCGCTGAACCCGTGCACAGTGGCCACCGGCTCCAGGCGACCCTTGAGGGCTGACTCCTCGAAACTTCCTGTGAATTAAATTAATGTTACATATAGACAGTTGTATTCAGCTTTTATTAACATCCCACTGCTGGGCACGATCCTAATTGTTAAATTAATAATGTTGGAAATGAATCACACATGAAAATATCAGAGGTGTGATACACGGGATTTGAAACCGCCTGGGCTAAATAGTATAGAACAATAAAACAGAAACGTGAAGTGTGAATGTTTTTTATTTTGGTTTTAATCAATTTTAATTTTATACTATAAATATTAAAAATACGAGAGTTTGGATACATGGATGTTTGTTACTCAGTCACACCAGAACGATAGATTATACTTTGGAATAGCACGTAGGCTACTTTTTATCTTGGAAAAATGTACGGTTCTCGTGGTTATCCATTCTAACCCTTAAAATATACCTAGGGACAAACTCGAGAGAAGAGATGGTGAGTTGCTCGTTACATATTAAAAACAAATCAAAACTCAACGCCATCTATTGTCATTTATTTTAACACAGTCCCCACGTTTTTATTAGAATCTTAAAACACTAAATGAGCAATTCTTGTATATATTTTATTTTTAAATTTATGTGTATCCCGGAAACGGCTTTAACGATTTCGATCAAATTTTGTATTTATATAAGGTTTTGCTTTTTAAGTTTTGTATATATGATGAATATGTCTTTTCCGTAAAAACATATGTCATATAGCGCCATTTTGTAAATTTACGCCGATGGATAACCTACTGAACGAGCGCCTATGCCGAGCGAAACTCTATCACCCAGATCGTATTCATTATACAATAACAACAAATCAACACACAACGCGTATACCCGTGTAATGTGCATTAGTGATGTAACGAATATTCGCATTCTCATTCACAATCGTAAAAATTCGCATGTTCCTTCACATTCGCATTCGCAAAATTCGCATAAATGTCAGAAAAAAAGTGAAAATGGTGATAGGTTTATCTATACAAATAAAACAAATAATATTACTTTATTATAATTTTAAATAGGAAACCAACTTAACCTAATATCACAATTAATAATAAAAAAAATAAAAATTTATAAAAAATAAAAAAATAAAAATAAAAATTGTAACTTAAATCAGCCTTTCTCATCTACACTAATATTTTAAAGAGGTAACTTTGTGAGTTTGTTTGTAGGAATTAATCTTTGGAACTACTGAACGGATTTAGATGAAATTTAAAATATATAGGATAGATTTTATCCCGGAAATCATCCCTTAAGGGAGTGAAAAGGAGGATGAAACTTTGTAATCAATCATTACTCATAGGGATGAACCCGAGCGAAGCGAGGGTAAATCGCTAGTTAGTAAAATTAATAACTTAAAAAAAAACATCTTTTTTCTTACTTTTATCAGTCTTTGCTTATAGATCTTTTACAAACAAAAAATACAAAAAAAAACTACATTCGTTTCTTAAAGTTCTCGTAGAAAATAAAGATTATATATTTAAACAAACTAAAAAGTTATTCTTGATAAAAAAAAATTAAACAAGTTAATAATAATCAAACTGGAGTGATGATGATGATGTTCTCCTGACCGATTCCGGCCACGGCGGCCAATCTCATTGAGACTAGCCAACTGCGCAGGAGATATTATAGTGCACAAGTGTACGCGCAGACACAAGTGCACTCTCTAATCCTGTCACTCTCATACTCTGGTAGGACGACCACTCGACACGACCAGTGAGAGTTAAGGCGCAGGACCGACGGCTTTACGTGCTCTCCGAGGCACGGGGGTGAAACACCTCCAACTTCCCAACTCCGGGCTGTTACTGAGGCTTAATATACAGAAACACTCAATAACTAAACTTGGCCCGACCCGGGACTCGAACCCAGGACCTCCGGGTGTGCAGCCGTACATGCTAGCCACTACACCACCGAGGCAGTTAAATCAGCATTTATCTGTCGGTAGTTGCACTTGGGTTATGTTTTGTTTTTCTGGTTATTTTAAAATTGAACAATATTTATATAAGTATTGTTTATTTTTTATAATTATTTTATTTTTTTTGTAATAAAATGCATAACTCTGTCGGTACTTTTACGCACATGGCTGTTTTTTGCATAACTGGGTCCAATATATCATATACCGAACTGAAAGTGCATAAGTGACTAATAGAAACCATGATAGCCATGAAACCATGATAACAATACAATTTCGTAACTTCAACAACTATAAATCCTTAAGTCCACGTATATCTCAATCATCTATAATACAACGCCATCTACACGAAACGGTAAAAACTACGTAATCGTGTGTCTGCTAGATGGCCTCATGTACATCAACACAAGGCCATCTAGCGAATCTCACGAGAACTAACATCAGCAATCGTTTCATAAATTCGCTCACTAGTTTTACGTAGTACCGACAGAAGGCGCGTTTTTTAAAACAAATATGGAAGAACTTAAAAATATGTTAATCATACAGGAAGAGATCAGACAACAAAAACAACACATACTTGATATTAAACATGATAAATGAAAAATTTAAATATTTAGAGAATCAAAAAACGAGCTTCTTGAGCGAAAATTAGAAACACAAAATATAAAAACGGGTAAACTTAAGAGATTCGTGAAAAGAAAAAATCTACTGATTTTTGGAGTGAAGGAGCGTGAGATAGACTAATATGAGATGGAAATGATTATATTAGACATTATAAACAATACAATAAACGTGGAATGCGACCATATGGCATAGAATCAGACCAGACCCATCGTAATAAGTACAAATATTATAGCATTAAAAATCCAAATTCAGAAAAAGACGAACTTAAATACAATACTCTATTTCACAAAGAAAGACTTTCTATTAGAAGTATTGAAAAAACGCAAACACGCAACAAGGTACGTAGACCAAAGCCCCCTCCATACCTCGCCATCAATTCGAGTTAGACAAAAACCAAAACGCTAACCCAATACGTTTATGTTACAAGTCTAATGCCCGATTTCACCAACGTCACCTAAGTTTAAAGGATGCCCCTAAGCATGGTTAGGGGGCTGTTAGGGGACAGTTTCTGTTTCACCGACAGTTAGGGGTCACCTAAATATTAAAAGGCCCCCTAAATTTAGGTGCTCGAAATATGGGCTTAAAGACGACCGTAAAACGAATCGAAAATCGGGCATAAGGCCCGCTTTCACCAACATACCATAAACTACCACCTACGTATGGGATCCCTAGCTTAAAGGTTCCCCTAAACTAGCCCCTAAATTAAATTTCATTTTACCATCGTCAGGGCCCGTAATTTTAGTACCCATATTTAGATGGCATTTTAACATTTAGGTGACCTAATTTTCGGTGAAACAGAAAGTGTCCCCTAACAGCCCCCTAAGCATGCTTAGGGGATCCCTTAAACTTAGGTGACGTTGGTGAAATCGGCTATAAAAGTGAGAGCTCTACTAGAAGAAAACAAAATAATGGTAATAAAACAAGATGTAAAAGACCTAAAATATGACATTATAGAATTATGTAAAGTCAGAAGGTCACATGAAAATATAGAAGAATATGATGACTTTATCTTATACTATACACGTAGCACTAACGAGTGGGATGTTTGGTAAAAAAAGCAACGAAAAATAGAATATTATCGTTGAACACATACTCGGACAGAGCAGCAACCATGGCAATAGACCCTCTCTCCTTAGGATTCGTTCCTAGGTTGATCCCCCATACAAACCTTCCCATTTTCACACTTTAGGGATGATTTTCGGGATAAAACGTATCCTTTGTCCTTGCCAGGGTCTCAAACTGTCTTCTTACATCTAAATCGGTTCAGTAGATCCAGAGATTTCCCCCTACAACCTCAATAACTCACAAACTTTACCTCTTTATAATAGTAGACGAATTAGGACTGACAATAGGAACACAAAAGAATTACAAGACGCCTGGTGAAGACAACATATCAAACAAAGTTAAAACCACATCTAGAACCATTACGGGCTCCGCTACAAATACTGTCCGATAGATTTCTAAATGAGAGAGTAATTCCTCATAAATGGACAATATCTATACATATAATAAAATTCTAACTAAGCCAAATCTATTTACATCTGTAAATTAATTTTTTTTGGGGAAATCTTATTGAAATATACATTATTATCGATACAGAGGCTGAATATATATATAGTTTTTAGGATTTTTGTCTGTCTGTGACGGCATCACGAAAAAACCACTGGACATATTTTGATGAAATTTGGTATGATGATAGCTGGTTATCCGGGTCAACATATAGGATACTTTTTACTGCGGGAAAATCTCTCATCTCTTGAGCTAAACGTTAAAACGTAGCTAAGGACGAACACGAGCGGAGCGAGGGTGAGTCGCTAGTCTACTATAATATTACTGCGTAAAAAAGGACATAAGAGCAATAATAATAATCGACCGATCAGTTTGATTGTCCGAATTGATGCCAAACATGAACCAAATATGATCCAAAATTATATTAAATAGACTTACCAAGACATTAGACGAACAGCAATCGAGAGAACAGGCAGAATATCATACGAATTTCTCTTACTTTATTAGGTTTAAGGTTAAAAAAAATTGTGATAGAAATAAATGTAAAATAATAAATGGATACAAAAATAATGATAATTAGTAAAATATATGTATGTAAAAAAATAAAGATTTTAATATTTATATATGAAAAATGAAGTTGTGAAGGTTTTATTTATTATTATTATTTATTATTCTATCTAGTAGCACGCAGACTCTTGTGTAATTTTGAGGGGCGTTTGATTTTTTTTTATCTGTAGTCTGAAGCCTTATTAATCTGTATTCAAATGATGATTTTGATCATGTGTTGCCATCTTTTTTGCATTTTGTTATGATATCAAGGACAGTTTCTTGAGCTTTCAGCTCTTCTTTTAAAACATTTTGTTTCTTTAAGCACAGTCCACTTATTGAATATTTAATACGGAAACGCCTTTTTTTCATGTTTGCGCCTGCACTAACTACACATTTCACTATTTCTTTAGGTACTTATTTGGTACTTGACGACACGTTTGGCTCAGATCGTTGTGATCCTACTTGCTGTGCCAGCGGTCGCGGGTTCGAGTCCCACCGGGAGCATTCATTGTGTGATTAGCACGAATGATTTTACTCCAGTATTTATTTAAAGTTATATATATGTGTAGTGTATCAACTATCTTGTATCAATAACACAAGCCTCGTAGCTTACCATGGTAGTATATAGTGCTTTGTTTTAATATCCCAACATATTTATTTATTTCCCATAACGACAAGATGCCTAAAGTTTATCAGCAACATTTTCTCCTGTGACGACTCTCATTGAACACTTCTCCCTTTAACACTATCAGTTTCCTTTCGAATTGTTCTGTAAACTGACAAGTTAAACTGAGTAGCGAAACTCCAGAACAAGAATAGGACCAGATGTCACAAGTATATGACGTTTTTTTCAAAATATATCATCAATACCAGTATTTTCTGGCTTACTTTACCATATAGTTTATCGCCCGATCAGTATTATTCAGTCCTTTTTAACGTCCCATTGCTGGGGATGGGCCTCCCTTCAATACGAGGATCAGGCCATAGTCCACCACGCTGGCCAAGTGCGGGTTAGCGGACTTCACATATCTTTAGAAAACTTGCTAAGTTCTCTCAGACATGCAGGTTTCCTCACGATGTTTTCCTTCGCCGTAAGGCAAGTGGTAATCAATCATGTCAGAAATGATTCGCACATGAAAATATCAGAGGTGCGAGACCCGGGATTTGAGCCCGCTTCACTCGGTTTCCCAAGATAAATGAAGTATAATACTGACGAATCTAAATTATGGGATGGACATAAGTGCTTCATAAGCCTTATAAAGCCAAATACATTCCACACATCGATCAAAAAACTACTAGATACACGATCCCATGCAAAAGTTGCATGCAAAAGTTCTCTTAAAACTGTCACCAATTGTGTTTAGATAATTATTATAGTTGAAAAATATATAACAATGTAAATTGAACCTTAAATGCAATGCTTAAAGTTGTGTTCACAAAAAAATGTTAAAAGCGCGCTCAAATGTTAAAACGAGCGCTCATTCAGTGAGTACATTTTTTGTCGCTGATTGTGTATGTAGTACTTTTTTTATCGATTATTCCACGAAACTAAACAGCAAGTCTTCCAACGCAATCATTTCAAAAACCTAGCCGATATATTATTCCACTATTTCGTTTTTTCAATACAATCTTGAAGCGACATCTTTGGTATGATGATGTCAATGCAAGTGCTCCATCTCGTTCTCCCTTTTCGTACTTTTCCAATTCAGAAAACTCAGTTTTACGTATTGACTTTACATGATTTCTCATAGACGTTAAAGTTGTTACTTTTCTTGAATATTCCTTGTTATATTCCTTGCAAAGTATAAAATAAGTCCAAATACTAGAATTAGTTTTAATACTTTCTTAGATTTACGCGAATATTTGACATTTTAAATAAAACTATCCATTCGGATATTCGACATTCGACAACTATAGTATAATGCTTTGAGACGTCTAAAACCTCAGTCTCTTCCGTAACCATGTGCGTTGGAAAGCATTCAAAAGATCGGGGACCAAAAATCAAAAGAAATCCCTGAAAACATCCGAAAAGATAGTTTTATTTAGAATTTGATATGTGCATTTTAATTACATTGTACAAACTGAAGCACAAGATTCCACTCTCAAAGAAGATATACGTCTAACGTCTATCATCTATAGTTTTTTGCATTGTACTAACCCAATTTTTACATCGCGGATTTTAGTTTACATTAATAGGGAATACGCGTGTGATTTAAATAAAGGTTAAATATTTTTTTTATAATCTTTATTGCTTTTGAATTAAGCCTATATTAATATTTTTTAACGTCATTTCTTTTTGATATAGAAAATACTTATTAAAAATTGCAAGTATAGGTGGGGAATTCAAAGTAGTTGAAACGCACGCCATTGGTCAGACTGAATATGACGTCAAAGTATATCAAAACAGAGCGATTATCGATTTTATCGCTACAAACTGAGTCGTCATTTTTCTATGTATATACCATACTGTGACGTCACGCCGAGCGCGCGAAATGGCGGGCGTTTAAAGTATCCGTATCTGTATGGTATTTAAAGAAAATATCCAAAATTTTAATTTTTTGGAGCTGGAATTTTTGTAGAAAGTATTTTAATAAAATATTCGCTTAAGCAGCTTAGGTTAGTTTGATGCCAATCTCTATATGAAGACTGACCAACTAAAATTCGCTTTTATTAGTAACAATAAAAAAATCAGGCTCTAAAATCCAATTCTAAGGTATTGGGCTTTTCACATCAAACAAAATAGGCCCTCAAAGTAATAGGTTAATAAATGGCGGGAGTTCCGAGATAACAAACATACAAATTAAAAAAAAAACAGCCGAATTGCGAACCTCCTCCACTTTGAAGTCGGTTGATAAAATGGCTAAAATAAAAACTTAAGTTATTATACGTAATAGAACGTGGAAGTATAATAAATATATTGGGACATTAACACACAGCACCATCTAGGTCTATGGTAAACTACGAGGCTTGTGTTATGGATACCAGATAGTTGATACTTTACACATATATTATACTTTAAATACATACATACATATTATAAACATAAATACCCATGACTGAAGTACAAACATTCGTGCTCATCACACAAATGAATGCCCCCAGCGGGACTCGAACCCGCGACCGTTGGCACAGCAAGTAGGGTCACTACAAACTGAGCCAAACGGGTCGTCAACAAGATACCTGTGGCTGATTACGGGTTTAATAAAGATAACATAAAATTAAAAATAAAATGTAAACAATTTAATTCGCGTTTTGTTTTTCGCAATAATTGGCAAGCGGTTTACTTTTCGCAATAATTGGCAAGCGGAAACGTTTTTCATCTTTTTACGAAAATAATATAAAACAAACAAACACACTTCCGTTCAAATTTGAAAAAAAAAAAAAGAATTTTTCATGCAAAACACGACGACAAAGAAAAAAAGGGGCATGTCATAGGTTTCGCACAGCAGCACGCAGTCATAAGACAATTGGTGTCAAATTTACGCAAGAGAAAAACAAAATATTCGCATTCGCATTCGCTAATATCGGCGGCAGATATTCGCATTCGATTTCGCAAATGCCCAAAAACTGACATTCGTTACATCACTACTTACACATCACATATTATATTATACATAATGTATTATTTTACTTGTTTAAATTTTGATTTATTAGTTCATAAAATGCGTATTTATGAGTACATGTAGTGACAAGTTATTTGTGTATTATATATAATATACTAGCGGCTCAACCTCGCTTCGCTCCGGTTAATCGCTAGGAAAACAAAAACAAAACTATCCCACGGGAGCCATATATTTTTCCGAGATAAAAAATTCCAGACTATAATCTATCTCTGTGCCAAATTTCATCCAGATCCGTTCAGCCGTTCTGGCTTGAAAGAGTAACAAACATCCATATTCACAAACTTTTACATTTATTAGTACTGATTTATGTTAGATGTGTATGTATGTATATAAATATTTCTTTTCCTTATACAATCCCGTACCCGTTTTATTCAATCCTCTCACAAAAGCTTGTCTTATAGACACTGATTTTTACAATAAGACCACATTTCCATGCATAATGTACTTTATCTAACATCATCTGTACTTTTTGTCTACACTTCTACACTACTATTATAAAGAGGAAAGATTTGCATTTTTGTATGTTTGTAACGAATAAACTCAAAAACTACTGGACCGATTTAGATGAAATTTGGTAAGAAGATAGTTTGAGACCCTGGGAAGAACGTAGCATACTTTTTATTCCGAAAATCATCCCTTAAGAGGGTGAAAATATATGTGCAATAAAGTTTAATAAATAATTTAAAAAACGCCATCTATCGCCTATATCAACAATTACTTTCATACTCACAACACATCGTACAACGTCATCTATCGACTATCTCGTGTATTACTTCCCCCACTTACCCAGTAAGCCAGTGCTGGGTCCCATACGCAGCTTGTGACGAGGCGCGCGGCGCGGGGGCACGTGGGGAGTTGGCGGCGCAGGCGACGCGGGCGACGCAGGCGCTGGGGACGGCGGGGAGATCGGGTGGAACAACGCACTGAGGACATTTTGTGTATGGATTATGTTTATTTATAAGCTTTTAAGGGAAACAAACAGCACAATAAATAATTACATTATAAAACATATAAAAGTAATCCTAAAACCAACCAAGTTTCCACAGATATCTAATATGTAATAAAAACTTACCATCATACGATATGACAATATATAAAAAAAATCAATTTAAAAATAACTGAATTATGCAGTTAAAAGTAACAATAAACATACATACAACCTATAGCAAAACTACCTATATATACTTGTATACCCCTAGAACTACTTCCTACACATAAAGCATTAACATATAAAAAATAGATGCACATTTCTTAACTAATATATTTTGACATGTGACGTTAAGTCAAACCAAAGAATAAAATTCAAAAATCGAAAGTCCTAATTGTCCAAAAAAAAATTATACGGTACTTACAATAAAAATAATATTTTTAAAATTTTTGGTCTATTCGTCCCGACTAATCTGCGAAACGGTTGGGTCGATTTTGATGGGACTTTCACTGGCAGATAGATGATGTTATAAGGAACAACTTAGGCTACTTTTACTTCGGAAAAAGAATTAAATTACCGCTCAAATAAATCACTATAATTACCTTTTAATCCCAGAAACTCCATTAATGGAATCGTCGAAATCAAAACAATTATTACCCCGACGCAACGGCGCAGGGCTCGAGGTTAGGGGAAGTCCCGTCTTATTATGAAATACCATAGACGCGGCCGAATCGAACCGCCACCTAAACCTATCCATCTCACTTGGGGACGGAACTTGGTTTTCGTGCCCTTTCTTAGGATCAGGAAATTTAAAGCCATTCTGCTCATCTACCGGCGATTCCACGTCACATTTATCTATGGTACCATAATCGCACTTCTCATACAAAATATAGTCTTCGTTGATAGAAAACGTCTTCTGCCTTTTTTGAACCGGTTCGGATTTTGGTCCAGAAAAGACGGTGTCATCGTCACGTAAATTCAGCTCTTTTATATCGTTATTTTGCGCATATCTATCACTGATCACCCTCTCTATCCTGTCAACTATCGGGAAACGTCTCAGTTTGGGCCGTTTGATAATATCGCACTTATTACTAGAATCTAAATTTATATCACACGGTGAATTACTTCTATTATCACAATTATGCTTTTTTAATATTGTATCGTCTTCCTCTCTTTTCCTTCTCGCGCCATTGTCCATTGATGCCAAATTGTAGTTTGCTTCAGAGCGTACCATTCTAGAGCATCCTGTACATACAACTTGTAGGGAATTTCCGCATTGGCACAGATCGTCGGTTTGTGTCGCAACAGTGTTGGTTCGTCGGAATTCTGGGGGTGGTATGCTCATAGTTTCGACGAATGGCGACCGACTTTCTATTCTCGTGGCGGGCAAAGTTAAATACGTTTGGTTTCTAAAACATCCTATAGCTCTCAATCTGTCGAATCTCGCCGCTTGTAAAATCGGTATGGACGTATGCGGTTCTTTTGCTTTCAAACCGTCGCCTTCCGACGAAGTGCTATCACATAGCTTTTTTAATTTACTCTCTTTCCGCATTCGTCTTTTATATTTAGCTATTTCCTTTAACCGGCGTTCGTCTAACTTCTTGCTTTCAAGGTTTTTATGGTTTTTATCGTCGGACTCTTCGTCGCAATTGCATTTGTGTTTACCGCTCTCGCTACAGGGTGTTAGCATACGATCGTCAACAATTTTTTTATCTTTGTCCAAACAATACTCGTACTCTAAGCCTGAGTTCATCATGATTGAGAGTCGCCTACTGGTGCCTATATTTGAGTTGGGGTTGCGCGGGCCTAGGGTGAGATCATGTAATTTACCAACAATTTCGTCGTGTACATTCATCGCCATTTCTTTACTGGCTCGTCGTTTTGGACAGGTACATTTGACTACTGGCACTTCGTCTAAGCGAGGCAGACTTTCAAGGACTAGTTTCAGATAAACATTGTTACCGATGTCAGTTATGGGAAATTTATGGTCAGTGGGAGTTCGCGAGAAGTCGGCCATTTTGTAACTCTCTCCTGGTATTTTAATGGAGTAGACAATGTTGAGCTTGCGTTCCTCTAGATCTGTTTCGTCACAGTTCGCTTCTATTTTTTTGAAGTTGCATGTTTCTCGGCTTAGCTTTCGCCTGTAAATAGATATTTTAACATTACTCTTCAAACATAGAGACTCCAATTATTATTTAATATATTTTGTGTACCAATACAGTAATTTATAAGCCATTCCTATTTATAATGCCTAAATTTTTTCCATCTGTATGTTTTTTGTAATTTAAAGAGACAAAATATAACGTGTCACTAAAATGATAATTCTCAAAAATCTGAATATTTACACAACTGTATCGATTTAATAAACTGAAAAAATTGCTTTCTGTGGGAAAGAGTTGTTTTTATTTTCGCTAATAAAAATATTTATCACCTTCTCTCAGCAGGTTTGTCCCATTCAGATCTGTTGATGGTCGCTTTCCAAGCGGAGAGCTGCGAGAAGTGCAGTTGGGAGCGGACAGCGTTAAGGAGCCAGTGTGCAGTGATGGCCGCCGACGGCGTCGACGTATCGTGGTTTCTGGAAACATTAAAAATAACTATTATATTGTCGATCAAAACGAATTTACTATTGTTGACCGACATTGATAAAGTTGAAAGGTGGTATGAGTTGTCTTCTGAATGAATAAGCTACTTTTCCTACTGAACAGAGTAAGGAAGTTATTAAATGCCAACTACTGAGCCCTTTTTAAAGTCGCACTGCTGGCCTCCCTTCAATACGAGGGGGAGAAGGCCATAGTCCACCACGCTGGTCAAGTGCGGGCGGACTGAGCATGTCTTTCGTAAACTTGCTAGGTTCTCTCAGACATGCAGGTTTCATCACGATTTTTTCCTTCACCGTAAGGCAAGTGGTAATCATGTTGGAAATGATTCGCACATGAAAATATCAGAGGTGCGAGACAAAGTGCCGAGTTTGTGGATGGATGTGTGTTATATCTTCGCAGTATAACGATTTGAATATAATTTGCGATGGAGATAGCTTTCATCTGGTATCAACACATAAGCCAACTGACGCGCATAAACGAATTCGCGTGCATTAACTAGTTTTATATCAACCAAAGACCTAATATCTCAAAGTACAATAAAACAGGTTTGAAGAAGATCGTGTACAGTTTTAGTATAGAGCAAACAGCACTCACTTGTTGGTAATAGTACGCATAGTCCATCTCTCAAGAAGCAAGGCCTTCTGCTGTGTGTGTAGTTTGTCGTACCTCGCTTCCTCCTCCATTCTGATGAGGGACGCGTAGCATTCTTGACAATCCGGAGCGAGTAGGACCTAAGGTTTATTACGTAACCATATAATCTATACAGATAAATAAAATTGAAGTGTCCGTTTGTGATGTCAAAATTGTCATTTTAATAATTATAGGATAAAAAATATACGATACTTATAAAAAAAAACAATTTTTATTTAATTTTTATCTGTCTGTCTGTTTGTTCCAGATAATGTCTGAAACGGCTGGACTGGTTTTGACGGGACTTTCACTGGAATATAGCTGATGTTATAAGGAGTAACATAGGCTACTTTTATTTTAGAAAAAGAGTTAGGGTTCCGCTCAAAAAAATTGAAACGTACCTAGGTACGTCCCTAGGGACGAACCCGAGCGAAACGAGGATGAGTCGCTAGTATGAACTAAATGTATGTTCGTTTGTTTGTCGAACATTCGTACGCATACCTGGAAAGGTTTCTGATATAGTACCGCCAAAGGACGATCGGTGGCGGGATGTTATGATGTTATAAATATTGAAGGTATAAATTATTGTTTAGAAAACTAAAAAACACGGTGTAATGATGAACCGATATATGTGATGAATTTGATATACAAAATGGGAATATCTATACAGATATACATACAATAAAATTCTGAGTCAAATCTGTATATTAAATATATTTTGGAAAATCTTATTGAAATAGTCATTATTATCGATACAGAGGTCGAATCTATATTTTTTAGAATTGTTGTCTGTCTGTCTGGGAACGCATCACGAGAAAACCATTGGAGATTTTATTTTAATTTGGTATGATGATAGCTTGTTATCCGGGTCAACATATAGGATAATTTTACTGCGGCAAAATATCTCATCTCTGAGAAATCTATAACAAACGTTAAAACTTAAGTAGGGACGAACTCGAGCGGAGCGAGGGTGAGTCGCAAGTCTAATATAATGGATAAACACCTAAGACAGGTATTTTTATAGGAAGAGAAAGTTTTAAGTCACGTGCGATAACTAGTTATTTTTATAATAGTTACCTCAATGCAAATTGGTATCTGTTCGTTCCATAGCGCATGCACATGGCTGTTAAGTTGGGCTTCGACTCCCGGTTTGGGTTCGTCCGAATCTGACTTGGGTTGGGTGTTTACCTGGAATAAACAACGAAATAAAGTTAAAATATATACAAATTCAAGTTATAACACCAGATTTCGGCTAATGGCTTCACTGGCGCGTAAATCTATTGAGGTTGAAGAGAGTGCGGTCCTGTGAATTGCTCGTGTCGGCCGCTTGAAAGTGCAAAATCTCTGAAACTCGATTCCGATTCCGAAAATATTTTTCGTAATAAGAAGCTACTATATCCCTCGCTATAGGTTATTTTTAATTCTGATAAATGTGCTTACTGTCAAAAATCACAACAACCATTAAATAGAAAAAAACAGACTTAGGGACGCAACCGAGAGAAGCGAGGTTATCTTACTAATATTTTAAAATATGTGAAACTTTAGATGTTTGTTACTCAATCACGCCAGAACGACTGAACGGATCTGGATGAAATTTGCCACAGAGATAGATTATAGTCTGGAAAAGCACATAGGCTGCTTTTTATCCTGGAAAAATGTACGGTTCCCGTGGGAGATTTTTGTTTTCCTAGAAGCGAACCCGAGCGAAGCCAGGATGAATCCCTAGCATATTATAAATACAAAAAATTGTGTGTGTATGTGTGTGTTCGTTACTCCTTCACCCTGAAACGGCTGGACGTATTTAGATAAATCTTTGTCCACAGATAGACTGTGAACCGGAGGCCGAAGTAACACATTATAAATGTAAGAGTACTTAGGACTAGTGAGAAATATAATAGGTAAAGCACCATAACCTGATGACCACTAGTGGATGGGTGCACGGGGTGCCGTCGCGGCGAAGGGCTTGTGCTGCGCGAGCGCACAACCAAGCGCCCAAGCTGTAGCAGCAACCCCGTTCCCGTCGCGGGCGGCGGTTCGTTACTGTGCATCTGGAACATGAAGACTTTATGTTAAACTTCGATTTACATTATCGTTTACATTTGGAACTTAAAAATAAGTCATATTCTGATGAATTTATTTTAGGTACATAGAAAACCAATTATAGTAATTGAAATTTTTCATTTATGAGCACGCACTTCGCCAGCGTGGTGGACTATGGCCTGATCCCCCTCTTATTGAAGGGAGGCCCACCCCCAGCAGTGGGACGTTAAAAACGGACTGAGTACAAGCCCTTGGCATTAATTGCAAAATACAGATGAACATGATATACGTATGATACAAAATTATTTCCGAATCATCAGTAGAATCGGGCTAAAGTGGACGGAACGCGTTCGAATTTAGGCATTTCCTTCGAATTATTAAAACAAATACACATTTTGAAAATGTAAAAAGTATACGTTATAGAAAACGTATAGTTTTGTTATCTATTAAAAACTTAAAATATTTACACCGCACTGAGGGTTTATTTTGCTTTTTAGATATCATTTTGGATTTTTTACTCTATCGAGGAAACTACACGTAATCGTGTTTCTAAACTATGCGATATATAGAATAAAACCTTAAACATCCTACATATTAATTGCATAATTAAAGCTTTAGTAATATTTCGTCATTGTCTCGGTGCCCCATTAACATTGCCATTGATCGATAACATATAGAAAATTTATACTATTGATTTAGCTTCTTTTCACCTTTAAATTGATTCTACAGGCCATGAAAAATTAAGCAATGTTTTTTCAACGAATATTGGAACAAGATCCAGATCATAACCATATGTTAGGATTGTCAATTTTTACTCTGTAATCTATACATATAATAAAATTGTAAATAATCGAATCTGTACATTAAACATTTTTTGTAAAATCTAATTGAAATAGACAATATTATTAACGATACAGAGTCCGAATCTATAGTTTCTAGAATTTTTGTCTGTTTGTCTCTCTGTCTGTTTGTCTGTTACCGCATCACGAGAAAACCACTGGACAGATTTTGATGAAATTTGGTATGATGATAGCTAATTATTCGGGTCAATATATAGGATACTTTTTACCGCGGGAAAATATCTCATTTCTGAGAAAAAATACAAAAACCGCATTGTAAGAGTATACTAATATGTAAAACCTAAGAATTTGTTATTTAGTCACCTGAACGCGGGCGGAGCAGCGGGCAATGCTAGTTAAAATATATTTTATGAATGTCAGTTGAAACTTGACAATATTTTTTCGTTATGAACTCGATTAGAATGTTTAGTTTCTACGTGACACAAGCGATGTAAATTATGCCCAAATGGCACTCCTAGAAGCCACGAAATAAAAGAATTGATTTGAAGTATAATATTTAGTTTTACTTCATATTTGGTGAAAACCACTCAATATATACATTAACTAGCGGACCCGACAGACGTTGTCCTGTCTACACGTCTTTAATTTGAAAATTTCAAACTTTTTTTAATAATTTTTTTGATGAAAATTATTATTCAAATTGTGAATCTAAACCATTCCCAGATCCCCTTGAACACACACAAAAAATTTCATCAAAATCGGTCCAGTCGTTTGAGAGAAGTTCAGTGACATACACACTCACAGAAGAATTATATATATAAAGATTACGAGAATATCGAAGTTTTATTGGCCGTCCCGTCACAAACGGTAAAAGTTTGACCAGAGTGAGCCACAGCAACGCGTGACCGAATACCTTACAGCTAGGAAGTAACACATAAAAACCTTGGCAATGACATTAAAATATATAGATATCAAACAATGCACTTCATATTGAAAGCCACTTAACTTATCAAGCTATAACCATGTAAACAAAGGAATTAAACTATGTATTTTCATAAAAAATAAATTGATAGTGCACACTTCAAAATATTCCCACAGACGTTTCCAAAACCTTGTCAATATTATAAATGTGAAAGTTTGTGAGGATGGATGAATGAATGGATTTTTGTTACTCTTTCACGCCAAAACGACTGAACAGATCTGAATGAAATTTGGCACAGAGATAGATTATAGTCTGGAATAACACATAGACTTTTTATCCAGGAAAAATGTGCGGTTCCCGAGGGATAGTTTGTTTTTGTTTTTCAATAGGGACGAGCCCGAAGCGAAAGTGAGTGGCTAGTCGACAATATTTCCTAGTTTAGGGGTGGTTCAAAAATACCACAGACATACAAAATGATCTCTGAAAATGTAACAAATATTAAATTAATTGCTATTGCAAAGTTTCATTACCTACCGACTAACTCAATCGTCAGATAAACTCGTTAATATTAAATTATTGTATTGTCATCCTGATTTCACGTACAAAATTAAAAAAAAAATCAAGTCGATAAAACAATTAGAACTTAGAAGATTCTACTTGTCGATCAATTTCCAAAATTTGATTTGAAAAAGATGACCTTTGAGACATCTTAATCTTAAACTTTAGTCTCTCCCGTGACAATGATTGCTGTAAAGCATTCGAAACGTCGAGAACCAAAAATCAAAATAAATCCGGCGAAACAATCCGAAAAGATAGTTTTATTTAAAATGTCAAATATTCGCGTAAATCTAAGAAAGTATTATTGCAAGATTTGATTTTATACAAGGGAAGCCAATTAAAGTATATTAAAAAGACGAATGAAACACTCCTTTCCCTTTCCCTATAGATTTTTAGCCAATGCGCTGCTGGTTCTTATCGAGGCAAACACACCGATATAGTAAATGTGAAAGTAAGTTTGTTCCACTTTCACGCCTCATCCGTTCAATCAAAATATTTCCACGCGACAAAAGCGGAGGATAGCGGTTATTTTGCATCCCAATTTTGGTCCAAAAAAGACAACATATAAAGCTTTTTTTCATTACTTTTTAACTAAAAAGGTACAATTTCTTCATCTGGACCAAATCCTAGATGTAGAATCAGGTCATAATTAAAGAAACCTATATGTAAAATTTCAAATCTATATATAAAAGAAAATTGTTCTAATTGAGGTTGCAAGGCTTGTAAGACCCATACAGGTATTCAAGTTAAATCAAGCCTTGTTAAAATAATTATATCATATTTCTTCATAAATAACAGACAAAAGCCACAATTAATTAAAAAAAAACATTTTCAGGACAGCCATTTTGTTCCAAGAAATAATTAATGTACTAACCGTAAGAAGGTTCAGTTAAATTCAAAACACAGTTTAAAAACATAATGAATGATATCAAATGCAAGCAAGAAGTAATCAATGATATAAACTCTGTCCTAGCATAACAACCTTGACCCATGGGCGTTGGGAGTGACCTAGAAAACCGCCCTACGCGAAACCACCCCCCTATCCCCATAAACGACGCCAACCAAAACAGGGAACAAAGAAAGAACTTTTTGTGCTAAAAAATCTAAATACCGTTCAATTTTGAGAAAATTGCTATTATTGCTCGAAAATATTTCTTTGTAAATTAAAATAACAAACAAACTACCCTAAATATGAAATAACTACCTTTAAAGTAATTTTAAAATCTGTGTGCCTTTTCAGTTGAAAAATAATTAGATATTACGGTTTAATTATCACTTGTAAGTGCAATCCAACCCTTAATTAAAAAAAAACGCAAGTGCACACTTGCCCTAATTCCCCGATCTGTTGCCAACGGCGCAGACACAAAAATAGAACACTCCAACTAAGCCGCTGCAGCGACCTAGTTACCTACCTTTCACTGTTCCACAGCGCTTGAAGCGCTGCCTCGAAGGCATTATGTGGGTCATGACTCATATAATACAGGTTGTCAAATACTTTTTAAAATGATATAATATATATATATATATTTTTAGGTATTTGTATAATGAATGATATATTTAAATTACTTTTTCAATTAATTACAAACATAATATTTTAAGTATACTTACAACGGTTTGTGGGGTGGTGTCACGTAATCAATCAGCGACTCACCTTCGCTCCCTAGTTACGTTTTAACGTTTAGTATAGATTTCTCAGAGAATAGATATTTTTCCGCAGTAAAAAGTATCCTATATGTTGATCCGAATAAGCAGCTATCATCGTACCAAATTTCATCAAAATATTTCCAGTGGTTTTCTCCTGATGCGTACTCAGACGTGGTATATATAGATTTCTGGTTATTTTCAATCTTCAAACAACTATTTCATAATAAAGCCCTACTGCTTAGTAACATTTAACCCAGATATAAATCCATTTAAACAACAAAAAGCTTTAAACAATGTAAAGGTGTAAGTTGTAATAAGTTTTTCTTTTCCGTTGATAGCCGAAAACTTTCAAGGTGTTCTCTTTACGGTTTCGCAACTTTTTGTTTTAAAACTTTTCTATACATATAATAAAATTCTTAGTCTAACCTGTACATTAAATATTTTTTGGAAAATCTTCTTGAAATAGTCATTATTACCGGTACAGGGGCCGAATTTATAGTTTTTAGAATTTTTGTCTGTCTATCTGTCTAGGAACACATCACGAGCAAACCACTGGACAGATTTTGATAAAATTTGTTAGGATGGTAGCTAGTTATCCGAGTCAACACACGTATAGGATACTTTGTACTGCGGTAACATATCTCATATCTGATAAATCTATACTGAACTTTAAAACGTAACTAGGGACGAACCCGAGCGAAAAGAGAATCGTCGCTAGCGAAAATATTAAAAAAAAATTTGACAAACAAGGAAATCATTCTTTTAAGTCTTACTCCATATTTTACAGTACTACTGCTAATTTAAAAAAAAAAGCAATGAAAATATTCGAGTTGTTTAGTAACAAAGCTTTGACGATGCAATTTAAGATTCTTCACAGCCAGGTCTGTTAGAGGAGGAGCCTGCTCATCTAGAGCAAGCACTGAATTTAAATTAGGTCAGAGATATTTATAATAATTATTATTGTATATATAATTATTATAATAAGATTTCAGATTTCACAAATATTTTGAGTCAAAATCCAAATACGATAAAGAAATGTGTTCCATCTCATGTTTTAAAAAACTACCCACAACCAAAAACTCCA